GTGTGTGTGTGTGTGTGTGATGGTGGTGAGAGGTGGGTGGATGTGTAGGACTTTCAGGGTTTTTCTACAAGGATTTTCTAAGCCAGCGCTTTCTCACACTGGGCACAGGTAAAATTAAAATTCACTAAACATTTCCTTTATGAGTAGCTTTTGGGGGCGCTCTTCTCATCCTTATTTGTGTTTTTGAAGGTCACACAATTCAACTCTACTTATGCATTCAATGGCTTTCTTACAGATTTGCATCCATTGTTGCAAAAAATGGCGGTGAGTGTTCCATTTACTTTTAATCAAAATTCCCTCCATTGGAACTGCTGACTTTTGAATGTTATACTTGATGTTATCTCTTTGCCTTTTAGGAAGAAATAATAGAGGGAAGCTATCTGAATGGTAATGTACCCACTCTGTCCTCACTTGCAGCTTTTATGAATTTCAAATAGAATGCAGCTGTGATCTCTCTGGAATGATTCCTTTAAAGTTGTCTTTTCATTTTATTCCCATTGTAGCATTACTGGATCTCATACAGTTTCAAAGGTAACCTGCCCTAGAGGGGAGGGGATGGGATGGGATAGATTTTGAATAATAATTTTAAAGGAAGTCTCTTAATTGCAGGGAGTAATGTGTGCTCATTACAAAAAATGTCACGAAGTGTCAACCAGTGCACAAGTGTTGTAGAGTTGACACCCTCATTCCAGAGATATCTATTCCTCCTCTGTTGTAGCAGAAGAGCCCACATTTATGGGGTGCTTATGACATCGCAGGCACTATTCCAGGAGCTCGGGGCATAGAAACACGAGCGGCCTTTGATGGAGGTTCGGTTGTCATCACATTGAACAGAACATTGGAGCTGGGGTTCAGGGAGGGTGAATGGCGGCCACACAGCTTGCCAGAGGTGAGGCTGGGACTTCATCCAGTGCCTGGCTCTGGGGCCTGCCTATTCCTTTCCCTGTCCTGCTCTGTGCTGCCCGCAGGTCTGTGCTAGGCACTGGGGATGTGAATCAGGAAGCCAGGCAGTGTGGTAGGAAGGCCGATATTAACAAAAAATTCTAATAGTACAACGAAGGAGAAGAAATGGAGCCTTGGAGTCCTGTGACAGCAACACCCACTTATGTTGAAGTGGAAGGTTCCCGTGGACTTTCCTCTTCCTGATATAACTCCAATTGGAAGTTTGGGATGCATTTTCTCAGGCTAAGTTATTTACTTGTCCATTCAGTCATGCATCTATTTATAACAAACGTGGGATTATGAAAGGTTATTTGTAGGTCTAGGGGTGTAGCTCAGTGAGATGGTGTGTGCTTAGCATATACAAGGCTTCAGCACCAAAGCCTTGAGCACCAAATAAAAACAACAACAACAAAGATTATTTGTGAGATTTATTATGTGTTGGGCACTGTTTCCAAGCACTTTCTATCCACTTTTGAATCTCACCATTGTTTGCTGTATAAAAGGGAGACAAAACCATAGGGGCATTCGGCAAATTGCCTGAATCCACGCGGCTAAGAGTTAGAGGTGGGCTTGAAGTCCAAGCTTGGACCTACTTTCAGCTATGACCCGGCAACCTACCAGGGCATCTCCGCTTCCACTTTTTACACTTAATAAAGGGAGGATTACGTTTACGAGTCCATGTTCAACCCTAGCCAGTCACTGTGGATTGTTACGGGAATTAGAATACTGCATACAGCTCAGACATTGATAATCATTTTGAGACCATGGGATCCAGGCAGATTCCTGAGTTGGAAATTCCCCTGACCACTGTGCTAGGTTAATGTGCCTCCTACTTCCCTGTACAAAGTTCTGGCATCCGAGGCCATTTCTACCACCCTCTCCGAACTGCTGTCCCCTGGGCCCACAGCTATGCAGTGCCACTTGGAAGGAAGTTGTCATAATTTTCTCCCCCTTGTCTTTGTCTGAAGTGCTCACGGGTGGACGGCCGACCTGTCCCACCACATCCTGGATTACCTGAATTCCCGGAATGTTGCCTTCACCCTTCCCAGCCTGCAGGTGTGTACTGGAGACCCATCTGCACTTTTTGTTCTCAGTGCTCATAGACTGCAAACCCAGCAGTCGGGGAAGTGGAGGAAGCATGCCAGGTTCAGCGAGAGTCTTCGCTTCCACACAGAAGACCGTTCTGCCCAGTTTTCCTTGACACATACAAGCTCTGCTGTCTCTTATTTTTTCACTTTTGAGGGAGAGACATGGTACGTTGGGGTATAGATGAAATGGCTGCAGTCATGAGACTCCAGAATAAAGCAGCTCAAGCAATTTAGTTTATTTCTTTCTCATATTACCATCCAGAGCTAAGTAGTTGTTCATTCCACATGAGGTTTGCTCCGGGGCTGATGGCTTGGGTTAGAACAGCAGCACATCTGGGGTGCTCAACCTCCTGACCCAAGGTCAGCCCCCTTTACCTTTAAGGACCAAACAGGCCATGTAGTCGGGGAGTCAGGCTGGCCGAGTCCGAGGAGCTGTCCCCGGCCTGTGGTGGTTGCCGGAAGGCTATGTATGCCTGGTGTTGCCCAATCTTTGCATTTTCGAACTGAAGTTGGAAATTTGGATTTTTGGAAGCATTTGTTGACTGGTCAGTGTCTGAAGCTATTTCAAAAACGTGGAACTGGCCAAACCAAACCCACCTGCAGGTGGCCAGCATGTGGACGCTGCAGGGAATCAGAGGGAGACAGGCTAGGCCGCTGGCCAGGGTGCTGACCAAGTACGCTGGTCCCCCTGTCCTCACCAACTCTCCCTTCACCCACATCCAGGCAGCTATGGAAAATCATCTGCAGCAGCGACTGTACCAGCCCCAGAAGCTACTGGCGGACCTGAGGAAAGCCAATGCTCAGCAGTTCCACACTGCCATGAAATGCCTCTTGGAAGACAAGCAGGACCACTTGGTGAGGAGATCTTGCCAATGGGAGTAGGAGAAGTCAGGGCCAGTTGGTGCTCACTGAGTTGAATCAAATTGAGCTGACCCAGCCCTTGGCCTTTTATTTCTGCCTATCACTTTCTCCTTCCTCTAAATCTTCCTGTAAACCTGGAGCTTTAGGACCTAGGCTTCCTTCCTTCCTTTCTACAAAGTTCAAATTGAGGACCATATAATTTGTATTCTTGTGGGTTCCAAGACATGAGGGGACATAAGGATCTAATAATTTGGTTTAATAAACACCTGTGAATAATTCCTATGCCCCAGTAGACGTAGAGGTGAAGGACTGCCCCTACCCAAGGAGCTCAGAGTGTGGAGTGCAGACAAAATCAGAGACAAGTGATTTCCATAAAATAAGCTGCATGATGTTATATTGTCACAAAGCAAGGCCTCTGAGACTCACACAGTTCTTGGGACCCAAAAAGGTAAGGCTCAGAGTATTCTTCATTGCAGACATTTAATGTGGAGCAGTGTTTTCCACATGGATATGAACCATTTCAACATTTTGATAATCATAAACTTATTTATTCACTTATTTATTTATTGTCGTGCTCAGGATTGAACCCAGGGCCTCATGCATGCTAGGCAAGCTTTCTGCCATTGAGCTACACAGCCAGCCCCTAATCATATACTTACATTAGTGTCTGTTATTAAAACATAAAGGATACATCAAACCAGTTTGGTAGGATTTTAGTATTTTCTTTTTTGGGGGGATACTGGGGATTAAACTTGGGACCTTGAGCTTTGAGGTAGGTGGTGGAACCACTGAGCCAAATCCCTGGCCTGGGGACTTTCTTATGCAGTGAATTTAAGTTTTTTTTTTTAAGGACTCAGTTTAAAGAAAAATATGAAGTACATCATAGTAAAGGCAGTGCAAAACTATGGCAAAAATGGGCACATGGGCTATAACAATGGTATTGCTTGAAGTCTGTTAAAGGTTTCCCATGTATGAGGTATTATTCTAACAGAATGATCAGCCAGCTTTTTGTAAGGGGCCTGGTAGTAAACATTTAAGGCTTTTCAGGTCATACAATCTCTGTCACACACAACTCTGCAATTACAGCATGAAACCTAGGTCCTAGGCTGTAGATGAATGGGTATGGATGTGTTCCAATAAAACTTTATTTACAAAAGCTGGTGGTGGGCTAATTTTGACCTTTGGGACAAATACCTTGCTGAACATTGCTCTAAGGGTTTAATGTGAAAAGACCCATCGAATCTTCTCCAGGACCCTTTGAAAGAAGATGAATAAAAATCTTATTATTGCAATACTCAGATGGGGACACTGAGGCTTAGAGAGGCTGATTGAGTAACTTCAGGTGACACATTTTGGAAACAGCAAATTTGACTCTAGCTGTATGCCCTACTGGCACCTGCTGAAGCCTGTGGGACCCTTCTCCAAATAATGTTTTGTTTTATTTTATTTTTTGGATTTTTGAGACAGCTTTTTTGTTTTGAGACAGCTTTTTTGGGGTTGTTGTTTTGGTTTTGGTTTTTATGTAGTTCAGCTGGCCTTATTCACTATGTAGCCCAGGCTGGCCTTGAATTCACAGTGATCCTCCTGCCTCAACTTCCCAAGTGCCAGAATTACAGGTGTGTACCACCATGTCCGGCCAAATGATGTTTTAAGCTCTAAAAATTAAAATACAAAAGATTACAAAGGAAATCAATTGCATTGAAAAACATTTATCAAAACCTATGAAACAAAGACATTTGGGGGAGAGAAATTTATGGGCTTCTTTATTAATCCACGAAGTAACACAATTTAGTGGCTCATCTAATAATTTCTGTAGTTTTGAGAAGTATTGAGTGTAAACAAGGTCACAAAGTATCTGCAGTAACTGTAATGCACTGTGAAAGTGACTGTGATTTCGATCGATGACAAAGCCAAAGGTTCTACCACTGTGGTGCCTTGATGCCTACCTTCATCCCTGAAGGAAAGGCTACCTGTCAGCTCTGTGTTGGGAAGAATGAGTGCAGTGCTTTCCAGTCTTCAGCACCCCAAGTTCCATCCACAGGTCCCTGCTTAGGAACCTCTCAGTGTGGTCTTAACCACTGTTCAGCCACTGCCAGCCAATGATGAAATTAGGAAACACTTGGTCAAGGTGAAATCGTGGGTTTGAAATCAAATACATATTTAAGATCTCAGCTCTGTGTATGTTTGGGCCTGTTGCTCATTCTCTGTCTTGTTTTTGTCACCTATGATGCTGAGATAATAATAACATGGGACATTGGTGGAGGACTACCAGGTACCAGGTATTTGACATTCATTGTCTTGTTAAAATCTTATACAAGTTAGGAGGTGGATACTGATTTTATCTCCATTTATAGAGGAGGAAGCTGAGACCTTTCTTGAGAACACACATAGAAAATGTGAGGGCCCTGGGATTTGAACCTAGGAGTGCCTGAGGCCTAGTATCTGTGGGGCTTATTGTAAAGGATTGCCATGAGAATTCAATGAGGTGGTGCTCATTTACTCTGTGGATATTTGAGGGTGCATGGGGTGGAGAGCAGAGAGATTAGTCAGGCTGTGATTAAACTTTGTCTGTATTCCTGGGTTCTGTGGCTCAAATGATTCATCGTTCATTTGATCTGGCTGTTTTTCATTTTCTTCTAGGCACCGGGGGCTCTACTATGCACTTGACTTGGGCTTCAGGGACTTCCCTGGCTCAGCCTTTGATACCACTTAGAATCAGTTGCCTGGGCTCTACCCCTGACTAATTAAATCAGATCTTAGGTAGTACTGCTGGAGATCAGTGCTTTCTAAAACTCCCCAGATGATATTGATATGCAGCCAGAGTTAAGAACTATGGGTTGGGAGGAAAGAAAGGTTCACCAGCATCTTTAAAGTAGGAAGTAGGATGGACCAGGGATTTAGCTCAGTGGCATCATGCCTGCCTTGCCAGCATAAGGTCCTGAGTTCAATCTCCCGCACCCCCTAATGTAGTGAGTCAGAGAAGAACAGAGGAGACTTCACCATGGATGTGACAGCTGAGATCAACCTCTTTAGGAAGAGCCGCATTTCACTGAGAATTTCAGGTAGACAAAGGGCCTCAGGTGTGATGAGCATGGTGAATCTGGAGAATGAGAAATTACCTAGGGTAGATGGAACTGGCAAGGTGATGGAAAAATCTAGCAGTTTTCACATGTCAGCACTTTGGGAGGCTGAAGCAAGAGGATTGCAAGTGACAGCCTCAGCCTGGGCAACTTAACCACTTAGTAAGGCTAAAATAAAAGGGCTGGTATTAAACAGTGATCTTGCATGGTAGCCTTGCTGCAGTGTGTGGTCCCTTCCAGGGCTCATGAATGAAGAGGCAGTTCACAAAGTGACTATGGCTTCTCTCATTCCTGTAGGACCTGAAGGACATTGTCATTGACCTGAGAGAGATGCGGGAGCGAGCCTTGCAGAGTCCTGGTGTGAACCGCAGCCTGTTTCTCATCACGCTGGAGAGGTGTTTCCAGGTGCTGAGCCCCCTGGAGTGTGTGGAGATCCTGGGCAGGGTGCTGAGGGGGTCCTCAGGCAGCTTTCTCCAGCCAGAAGTCACTGAGAGTCTTCCCCGGTACCTGCACAAGGATGCCTTTAAAAACCTGTGAGTGCCTCCTCCACCTGCTTACCTCTCTCTGTGTTGTCCCTTGGGGCTGCCGTGAACATTTCAGGAGGGCACAGGCCAAATGCACCTTCTGGAGAAGCTTACCCTCTGTTCCTCTTGTTGGGTACCGTACTTTCCTAATGAAATATTTACTCCAGCCTAATGGTAGGTAGCTGTGTGTCTTGGTAGCTGAGCTGGGGGAACACAGGAAGTGATCTTTGTGCTCAGCCACTTGGTAGACAGGTGGCAAGGTGTATGCACGTGTGTCAAAGCAGGAACAGGTGAGTTTTTACCCACTTTATGCTCCACATTACATTTCTGTGCATTTTTAATTTGTTCTATTGAATGCTTTCTTTTTATTTTTTTCTTGTAGAATCAGCCAATTCAGTACAATGTCACATGAAAATCTGCTTTTACACTATGGCAGGAGGTTAAAAGTGAGTCATCAGGTAACTTGGCTACTGAAGATGACTTGGATCATGTAAGCCAAAGCAAGACATGAAAGAGCAAGGCATGATAGACAGAGAAGTAGAGGATGAAGACCTTGACTCAGATGAAAAAGAAAACAGTAATGTAAATAAACATTTGAGTAGTCGAAACACTGCAAAATGGCCATGTATGCCTGAATGATCCAACATTGGAGCTAGGATGGAAAATGTTATTAGGTTCTTGCCACAGGTGAAACCTTTTGGACTGGATGCCAACACTGATTCAATATTGGCAATTGTTTGTAATGGACGATGTGCTACAAGGTGTTGTGAAATATACTAATAATGAAATACAAGTAAAACCTTCTGTATACACCAGTAGTAATACTCAATATGTATCACAGCACCTCGCAACCTGAACTAAGAGCCTTCGTAGCAGGACATTATCATTCTATTTGTCAGACTCTAAAGGATTAATGGAGAAGTGACCGATGCGGTGCTGAGATTTTTAAAACAATGACACTTGTGAGACTTGGTTTCCTTCAAAATTGCCTGTTTTGATGAAAGAAAGATTTGTCAAGAAAGAAAAAAAAAACCCAACAATTTGGCTTCTGTTTGCTCAATTTTTGAGAGCTTTTTTTGAACTGTTAAACAATTTGTACACCATCTGAATACACGACAATTGACAAACAACTTGCATCATTTTGTGGTTGCTGTAGCTTTTGGCAATATAGGCCAAATAAACCTTTCAAATATGGTGTAAAATATATGCTCTAGTAGGTGGGAAGACATTTCACACCTAGAATTTAGAAATTTATCCTGAAACTCAGCCACCAGGTCTATATTTGTGCAGTAATAAACCGTATGAAGCTGGGAACAGAGTTCTTGTACCTGTTTCAAAAAATAACCGTAATGTCACATCTGATGATTGGTCAACTAGTTACCCACTGATATTACATTTGCTAAAAGAACACCAGGTGACCAGCACAGGAACTATAAGCAAGAATAAAGCCAAGATCCTCCCCAAAATGTTCTAAGTTCACAACAGAGAAATGTATAGTACAGTCTTTGGATTTCAGAAAGATATAACATTGGCCTCCTGTATGGTGAAGAAAAGCATTGTTAATGTTACACCATGACAATAAGATTGAAGTGAAGCTGGGCATGGTGGCACATGCCTGTAATCCCAGAATTTGGGAGGCTGAGGCAGGAGGATCCTGTGAGTTCAAGGTCAGCCTGGACTAAGTAGTGAGATCCTGTCTCAAAAAACAAAAATTAAAAAGATTAATAATGAATCTTCAAAATAAATGAAGCCAGACACGGTCACACTTTACAACAAAATGAAAGGCAGAGTAGACAGATACTGTTGACAAGTTATGTAGCAACTATGCTATCAGTGGAACCATTGGCCAGAGGTTGTGTCTTCCTCGTGCCCAATCATGTCAGGCATAAATAGTATGAGAGTTTTCAAAGAAAATAACAAGTGCAAAATATCACAGAGAGATTTTCTTAGAGGATTGGGCCTGGAATCAATAAAAGATCAATTACAACAGAGGAACAGCAATATGTATCTGCCTGAAGAACTCCAAAAGAGCACTCTGGACAGACATATGAACAGACACGTGAGACATCACAAGAACTTCCTAACAAAACAGCAAGATGTCAAGTGTGTCCCAGAAAAAAGCAGAAAAGCAAAACCTATGTGCTGTGAGCAACACACTGTATTCCCACGTGAAGAGTGCCTTAGGTGTGACCCTCGGAGCAAAGAATTTCTTGTTGTAGAGCTTTATTTGTATTTTCATTGTAGTTCATATAGGAATTTATTTCTCTTCTTATTTTTTAGATTTTATAAACAGATGGTTGATGCTGAAAATGTTAATGCTTATTCTAAATACTCAATACATATTAAAATTTAATATTTTGTTTTATTTTCTTGTTAAGTACACATTGTATAATAAAACTGATAAAATTAAAATAATTCATCAATAGAAATACTCCTAAGCAATAAATGTGGGCATTATGCACCCACTAATCCTCATTTTTAAGCTGATGCACTGGGTTGCGGGCTGTAGAATGGGGAAACACTGACTAGAAAGGGTCCCAGAAATTTCAGTCAGTGGGGCAATACCCTGACAGTTTTTCTACTGTTTATCCACTATTGGCACCATGATTTATTTTTTCTTTTTAATGACTCATCTTTTTGACTTAAAAATATTTACTTTAAAAGTTAGTTTGAGCTGAGCGAGGTGGCACACAACTGTAATCTCAGCACTCTGGAAGGCTGAGGCCTCAGGATTGCAAGTTTGATCCCCACTGTGGTCACTTTGGTGACTTAGTGAAACCCTATCTTTAAAAAAATTAAAAAATGGGTTGGGGATGTAACTCAGTGTGAAGGCCCTGGGTTCCACTGACAGTAACACACATACACATTCACACATGTAAATTTGATACCATTATCATAAATGAGAAACCAGTATTGTTTTAGGTAAAAACAATCATTAAAATAAATATGAAAACAAAGTCTCACTAAAGCCTATCTAGCCATGATGCTTACCTGAGTTTCTTAGTTCGTTTGGGTTCCTCTCATAAAAATACCACAAACTGGGTGGCTTGAACAACAAACATCTTGTCTCATGGTGCTGGAGGCTGAGACATCCAAGGCGAGGGCATGGCGGTACCGGTGTCCTGTGAGGGCTACGTTCTGTTCACAGAGGGCAATCTCCACATGCTTTCCTCACGTGATAGCAGGGGCAGAAAAATGAAATAACAGGGAGCCTAATTCACATTAGGTGACACTAATAGGATATGATAGAGCTAACATTTTTGGGGAATGGGCAAGCCTTCCCTTTAATGATGTTAACCTTTTTTTTTTCTTCTTCTTCTTCTTTTTTTTTTTTTAAATTTAAAGCTCTACCTCTTTCCCCAGCCTTTGTCCTTTCACCTACTGTTTCTCTTAAAAGAAAAAAAAGGCTGATACATGCTATGACATGCGTGAACCTTGAGAACATCATGCCAAGAGAGAGTGGTGGCTTATGCATGCAATCTCAGGGCTTGGGAGGCTGAGGCAGAAGGGTGAATTTGAGGCCAGCGTGGCTATATACTTGGTGAGTTCAAGGCCAGCCTGGACTGTGTAGTGAGACCCCGACTCAAAGCAAAAAAGAAAGCAAAACAAGAACAAAAAACGAAAAGAAAGGAAACCTCATGCCAAGTGCAAGTAGCCAGAGAGGCAACATATTATGTTTGTCCTTTTATAGGAAGCACTCAGAAAAGGCAAAGCTATAGTGTCAGGAAGTACACTGCTGGTTTCTGGGAACTGGGAAGACTGAGGGTTGAGGGAGTGAAAACCATGGCGTTTGTCTCTGAAGTGCCTAGAGGGTTCTGCAATCGATAATGAGATTGCATTCTCTAAGATAACTTAGAGAAACTTAGATTTTCTCTAAGGTAACTTAGAGAAAAAACTGGAAACCACCAGATTGTACCCTGTAAGTGGATAAATTAAAGGGCATGCAAATTATATCTCAATGACGCTGTTTTGTTGCAAGAACAAAGAAGGACCCCGAAGGGAGGAAGTGGAGACAGTTTGTGGAGACCACTCTTGCAAGGTGCTTGGCTGTGAAGGGGAAAAAGAGATATGGAGAAATCGCTGCGTCCAGCGAGGGAGCAGGGAGGGTCTCAGCGCAGGATGGCGTTGGCACGTCTGTCACCCGACTCCCTCTCCAGCAGCCCTCCACCTACTGGCTATTAACAGATGCCCGTGTTTGTATTCTTCAGATCAGCCGTGTTCAAAGATCTTTACGACCGAACCTCAGCTCACGCCCAGAGGGCCCTGTACTCCTGGATGACGGGGATCTTGCAAACACCCTCACACGCCCCCGGTGAGCCTGCGTTGGGGAGCCCTTGGGTGTGCGGGGGAAGCCCACCCTCCAGATGGGTGCTGATCTCTGAAGCAGGGTCGTGATTTTTACCATCCGCTCCCGTTTCGGGTAGGGATTTGAAGTGGCTTCCGAATGAGACCCCGTCTCACGCGAACACCGTCCCATATTAAAGCTTCTGAAATAAGGCTGTATCTGGATCTTACAAATAACAATGTGTCCTAGTTTGTTTTTTTTTAGAGACATTGTAGATTTGGTAAGAACTTTTCGAATAGGATTACAAGTTCAAAACCTGTATAAAAATATCTATGAAACAGAGGTAAGATACTTTAATTGGGAAATCTAGGCAGTAAAGCACAGACCTTTAGCTCTGAGACATTTAGCTTCCTGGCAACCAAAGTGAAAATAGGTCAGGATTCATTTATTTGAAGTATATTGATGAAACGTCCACATGGTAGCGTAGTCAAGTACATAAAAAGAGAAACTGGAATGGTGTAGAGTTTCAGTTTGGTAAGATGCAAAAAATTCTGCCTATGGGCAGGGGTGATGGTGTAAAACAAGAGTGTGGATACACACCCAGCCCTCCGCGTATGTGAGTTCCACATCTATGGATTCAACTGACTCTGGATGGAAAATACTTGAAAAAATTCCACCTGCACTGAACATGTACAGACTTTTTCTTGTCATTATTCCCCAAACAATACCATAAACTACTTTATAACACTTTTATCATATTAGGCATTGTAAACAATGTAGAGATGATTGGGAATACACAGGAAGTGTGTGTGGTGGTTACATGGTAAAGCTGTACCATTTTATTCATACAAGTGAGTAGAGTATCAGAGGATGTGGGTATCTCTGGGGGTCCTGGAACCAAACCCCAGTGGATACTGAGGAAAGACTCTACTTATTGCCACCCAAGTGAACAATTTATATTAAGATGCTGAAATTTATGTTATGTATATTTTACCACAGTTGAGAGAAAAATGTGGAAAAGCATGGATAGGTAGATTAGCAAATGCAATTTCAGATACCTTCAACATGTAAGGGTTTAGTGTCAGAATTGTAAATAGGATAAATGTTTAAACCTTAAAGACAGCCTACTGTGTGTCAGCTGCTGAGGATACAGAAGAAAATAAGACAAAATTTCTGCTGTCATGGACCTACCTATTATTTTATTGTAGAAGGGCAGAGGGAGAAAATTTTCAAATGAGGAGAGTGAGGAAAGAAAGGAAAGGGAGAGGGAGGAAGAGAGGAGAGAGAACTTAGGGAGAAGCTGCCAGGAAAAGGATTTCTTAGTCTCTTTCTCAGCACTGAGACACAGTACTGACACCCACAACTTACAGGAGGAGAGGGTTATGTAGCTCATGTTTCGGTCCACGGTCAGTTGAGTCTGCTCATGCGATGTTGGCCAGACAACAGGGTGAAAGGAGGAGTTCAGAAAGGAAATATGACCTTCAGATCAGGTGCACAGGGATCCATTCTTCTGACAAGACCCCATCTCCTTGCAGCAAGTCAGCTACGGTGCCCCTGTAATCCCACCAGCTCCCAAACACATGAGGCTTTGGGGGCCATTTTATATCTAAACCATAACAAGAATAAAATAGATCGATGCTGTTGGAAGGGTTACTACTTTAGAACAGTGCTTGGCAAATAATGTACAGGGCATTTAAAAACTGAATAAATATTTATGGTCTGTGGTGTTGCATTTTGAGAACAGGCACAGGTGGTAGCTCAACAGGCAGGGCTGTGTCCCATGAAACTTTTCAGTGAAATTTGAAATTAACATAAATTTCACTTTTGTCTTCTTTTGATTTTCCTCCCATTTAAACATATGAAGACCCATTGGCCTATTCATCTGGTTTTCAGTCTGTATGTATGATAATTAGGTTTATAATGTCTTATAAGATAAATGAATGCTGCTAGGAAAATAAAAGGTGGGTGGAGGGAGGGATAAAAGAGGGGAGTTGAAATGTGTTACACACATGTCCCAATTCCCTATAGTGAACGTAATCATCATGTACTGAAGACAGGTACTAATAAAAGGGAAAAATTGTGAAAATTATTCTGGGCTTCCAGCCTGTACAAAATAGGTTATGGCTTGGGTGACTTTTTTGGGCGGGGGTACCGGGGATCGAACTTGGGACCTTGTGCTTGCGAGGCAGGCAATGAGACCACTGAGCTAAATCCCCAACCCTGGTGATATTTGACTTGAGACCAAGATGAGGAGATAGAATCAGTCATGTGAGGTTCTACAGGAAGGACATTCTTGGCTGAGGGACCAAGAAATACAAAGGTCCTGGGATAGGAAGGAGCTTAGTGGGTTGGGGAAGTATAAAGGAAACCAGCTGGGTTGGAGGGAAAGGAATGTCCATTAATCGTTTTCCCTGGGGTTAAACTTTGAGATTTGTGGGTAAGGAACATTAAACAGCATTATAATCAATGTTTTCAAAGTAGAATTCCCTTTGCCTTTAATTACACACGCTAGGAGTCTGAATCTCATACTGGGTAACCCTGATAAAGTCACTCAACTTCTACAATTCCCTAAGTCTTTATTGCCAGAATTTAATTAGGAATAGATTTTCCTTCTAGAATTCCTCTTTGCTAACTTTTATTATTAAACTCAGTGAGTTAAATTCATTCTATATGGACCTTAAATTGTTTTTTCCATGATGGTCCTTGAGGTAACTGGAGATACTTTGACTATTAAAAATGTCCCAAGCCTGAAGATCATGGATCCGTAGGAGGACAGTTCATGCTTAATATTAGTTGAAATATGGACAACTCAGATGGTTCTTGGTGAATGTTGTAGTTCCTCTTCCAAATTCTCCACCACGCCTGGGGCCATCCTTTCCTTCATTAGCCACATCAAGTGTCTAGAGTCCCCTGTGATGTGCACACCTCTGATTACGGGTTGGGGGAGGCACCCAGAGGTTCTTGTGAGTCACCTCATGCAAAAGCCAACCTTGCCAGCTCATTTGGCATCAGCCACTGCCCGCACTCCTCAAACAGCTTTTGGTGACTGTTTCACACGTGCCTTTCTCTTCTCTCTTCCCTTCCTTCCCTCCTCCTTCTCCTCTTTTTCTCCCCTACCCCAGGGGGAGATTGAACCCAAGGCTTTCATACTGAGCTATGTTCCCAGGCATTTTATTTTTTGGTTTGAGACAGGTTTTGGCTAAGTTTCTATGCTGCTTCCATGGGCTCTAACTTGCCATCCTCCTGCCTCAGCATCCCAGAGGCATGTGGCCGCCTTCTCCTTTTTTTCTGCCCCAAATGCCATCCATATGGTGTTGTGCGTAAACTTGGGGATAATGGTAGCCAGTTCCAGCTCAGCTAAAGTGGCAGTTGGATCTTAGACAAGATGGTTCTTAAAGTCCCACTGCCACCTCGCTGATGGGGAATTTCAAACCCCGGAGCAGACCGACGGAAAGTCCTCTGGGAACTTGAGGAGGGAACGATTCCTTCTGGCCAAAGACATAAGAGAAGGCCTTAGGTAAGAGGAAAAGTTTGAGCTCAGTCTTGAAGACAGGACTTGGACCCAGATTAAGGAAGGGCATTTGAGGTGGCCAGAAGGGCCCAAGTAAGCAGATTTGGAGAACATCTGGGGTGCATGTGGAGAGGTAAGAGTGATTTGGTTTGGTTCAAGTAAGTAACATGGTGATGACTATGGAAATCACGAAAGCTTATTAGTCATGGGTTGTGGAGGAGACTGTAGTAAAAGAGACAAGCATACTTGAAGTTGCCAGATTATTTAATAAAGAATTGAACTAATAACAAATTCCAGCTAGTGTTCATGCTGCCAGTCCAGGGACCACACCATTGAGTAGCAAGGTCTCAAGTGGGCAACCATCTGTGACCGTTGCCCATGTTTCACAGGCAGGCACTCAATAGATGCTTGTTGATTTCATGAATGTAAGAAGCTCTTGGCACCAAAGATGCTGTTGATCATCACACAGCAGTTGAAGGGCTTTTATTTATCCATTCACTTACTTATTCCTTCATTTGTGTTTTTTTTTTTTTTTGAAGATGATTCTGTTTCATGGGTCAGCGCAGAAAACTTATGGATTTTGGGAAGATATATGGTTCACCTACCCCTTCAAGAAATTATGAAAATTAGTTCTATAGAGGTAAGCTGGAAAAATGTTTTGTATGTCCCCATTACTAATACATCTGGGGTAAGGTATATTCTACAACTCCAGTATTCAATTGGCTAGTCAAGGTTCCCCAGAATTTTTACACCTGACTTAGCCCAATATGTCTTTACTTTGCAAAGAAAACTCTTGCTAAAAGTTCCCCGAGCAGGGGCCAGGGATTTAATTCAGTGGTTCTGCCACTTGCCTTACTGAGTTGGATCCCCACTACCAAAAAAAAAAAAAAAAAAAAAAGGCCCCAAGCAGTCAGTAGTAGAAATGTGTCCTAGTCTAGGAGAGCTAAGAAAAGAAGAAATATGGACTACTAAGAGTCTGAGGTAGACAAACATGATATAAAGGGAATGCTGACTGTTAACAACAACAAAAAAATCATTTGAGGATTTTTATACTCAAGAAAGGCCAAGGACAATTAGCTACAGAATTTCTAGTCCTTGGAAGAATGAACTCAAACCAAAAGCAACTGGTAATAACCCATTTATGCCAAAGACTGCGTTTTTTTGAATTTTTGCAATTTCATACATGTCACCTAAAAAATTCAAGAAACAAGAGTTTGAAGAGAGAAATTTTCATTATGTTTCTCTGTAATGGGCATTCCTAAAATGTCACACTAGGCATTGAAGGGTTAATAGCTACCTCTGTTTATAGTGACTTCTGTTAATAGCTACTTCAGCAGGAATAATGATTGGATTTTGACTCTAGCGTTTAAGGTAATGTACAGGTTGAAGGTTAGTGGACTCCCTAGTCATCTGTCTGTATCTTTCTGATATGGACTCAATAATACAAAAATCTCTTGTGCACTGTGACTCTGGAAAAGCCTGTAAAGAATGCTGCCCACACAGAGGTCTTCATAAAGAGTTTGGGTATTGACTCCAATTCTTTCTTTAAACATATGTGCCATGATCTTTTCTTGTCTGGTGAGAGAACAGTTTGCATCAAATGATTGACTTGTTGGGAGACCAGTTCACCCAGCGATATCTGGTTATGAAACCAGAGGCAGAACTAAGTTCTTCTCTTTTCTGTAGAAGACTGGGAATGCTTCAAACATCTTTCAACTTTTATAACCCTCTGTCCCAAGATTAACACTTTCCCCCTGCCCGTTGACTCTCCCATTGTTGAGTGATTTTTCAGGAAGGTAGATATTCTATATACTTAGAAATCTGAGTTCTTGGAGGAACTCCTAAAGTCAGGCATGCCTTACAACTCACCACAATCTGAACATGTAGCAAAGCGTGGGGAATCCACCGAGCATCAATAGCAAGAAGGAATTTTATGTGGGTAAAGTATATGATGCAGAAGAAAGAGATAACTGTATGGGTTCTTTTAAACACAGAGTTATGGTACACCACAATATAAAGTGTAAAATCTGTTAGAAATACAAGGAAAAATGGATACGTGCCTTTTAGTAGTAGAAGCAGTCAATGTGACATCCTTGGACACATAAGCAAGAGGAGAACAAGGATATAGAGAATCTGAATAGCACATTTAATACAATTGAATATATACGCACTGAATTTTGTATCTTACAAAGAGAACACATTCCCCGCCCCCATTACCACAGGGTTATTTATAAACTTGCTCATCTTCTAAAAAAATTCTGATTCTTCAAAGCAGAAAATATGTGGGCCATATTCTCTGAGCTCAGCACAACAAATCTAGCAGTAGATGTGCAAAGATTAGCTTACAAAGTTTAGCTGCTGGGATGTTAGAAAAACACACACACACTTTAAAAATAACAGAGTTGGAGAGGAAGCCAAAGAAAAGTTACAGATTGTTAAGAAATGAATGACAGATGTCCGTTGAGAACGAGTGGTGTATCTAATGGTCTGGGATAGGGCTCAGCAAAAGTCCCCAGGATGGGGCCACAATGGGCCCCTTCTGCCGACTCACCGGTCTTCCCGTCTTTGTTCAGATCGGGCTGTTTATCAGCTATGACAATGCCACCAAGCAGTTGGATACAGTGCATGACATCACTCCTGAACTGGCCCAAGCATTTCTGGAGAAGATTAGCTCCTCCAGCTTCGACATGAGGGACACCTCGACCATCCACAGGCAAGGGAGTGGGCCCTGGGCCCTCCGGAATGTGTTGCAAGAATCAAACCTGACTTGGGGAAGGAAGGGAGGTGGCTGGCCCCTCTCTAAATGATAAGGGGCAGGGTGAAGAGAACATTTCCTGAGCATCTGCTGTAGGCCAGGCCTTGTGTGTCACCTTCTCAAGGGCTACGTTCAGCTCGGAGCATGGAAATGGGACATTTTAAATACCTAGAACTTGGTCTGTCCCAAGGTGAGAGCATCATGCGCTTTAGGTTGTATCAAGCATTGGAAATAGCTCCTGGATCTCCATTTTTGAGAACTTCCATGATCAGACTCTCAGCTGGGAGCCTCTGCTTGAGATCTGCTGTAGAATTTAGTGGTGGTATCATGATTCCCCCAGAACCACGTCTGGCGGGGACCAAGGAAGGGCTGGGACCAAGCCAGAGAGCGGGCAGTAAGGAGGGGGCAATGAGCAACCATCTTCTCTGTCCCTGAGGGTCTCATTGTCACACTGGTCCCTCCAACATCACCATATTACCTTAAAAGTTTTCAAACAAGTCGCTGTTAGCTTGTGTATTCATAAAACTACTTCGCCACCATCCCCCATCCCTAGTAATTTTCACCCACTACAAACGGGCTCCACTTTTCTATGGACCCCCCCAAAAGAATCACAGTTAAGAATGTGGGCCCTGGAGCCAGGCTTCTTGGATTTAATCTTGGCCATGCCATGCACAGTGTGTGTGATCTTGGTCATGTGACATTGCCTCTGTGCTTCCATTTTCCCACCTACGAAGTGGAAGACAAGAATCTTCTCTGCTCATTAAGATCTTTGTAAGGATTAAGCATACCTGGAACATAGTAAGTGCTCAATAAATACTATGTTTTCTAAAAAAATTATTTTTTATTAATTTTTTATTTTTATTTTTTGGTACTGGGGCTCAGACTTAGGACCTTGCGGGCACACTGAGCTAAATCCTGGCCTGTAAAATAATTTATTTTTTAAATCAACAAAAATTGCACAGACTGATGGTGTACATGATGTTTTGATATATATTGTGCAATGGTTAAATAAAGCTAATTAATATATCCATTATATCATGTACTTACCAATTCTTTTTTCTTTGGTAGTGAAAACACTTAAAATCTACCCTCTCAGCAATTGTTAAGAATATACTCCATTATTATTAACAATAGTCACCGCATTCACCACAATTTATTTCTCCTGTCTAACTGAAATTTTGTATCATTTGACCAGTGTTTCTCTAACCCTTCCCTTGTCACAGACTCTCCTTCTACTCTCTGCTTCTATGACATTAACTTTTTTAAAAATCAGAGTCTGCGTATAAGTGAGATCATGTAGTATTTGTTTTTCTGTGTCCGGCTTACTTCATTTAACATAATTTTCCCCCAGGTTCATCCATATTGTTGCAAATGACAGGTTTCCCTTCTTTTAAAGGTGGGATGTATTCCAGTATGTGTCTAAACTACTTTTGAATGAATTCACCCATTGACAGATATTTAGGTTGATTCCATGCATTGGACTTTGGTGGCCATTGATATTCATCCTTCACTTCTTCTTCTGAGTCTTTTCTTTTTTCCCCCGAGTTAAGCAGATCTCTCTTTCTCATCAGGGATATTTTAAAATCCATTCCCTGGACCTGGTTTCTCTTCGGTGTGCGTGTCCAGATACATCAGTGTCTTTCTGAGATGGAGCCAGGTTGATTGGGGTCAGTAGTTTTCATACGAGCTCTAAGCACATCCATTAATGAAACAGTACTTGCATCCGTTGTGAAGTACGCTTCTCATTGGGTATGCTTTCTCTCTAGCTTTCAGTTACTTCATTCCTTCACTCAGCGTATTTATTATGATGTGCTACGGGGAACAAAGCAAGTCTCTGTTAGTAAATGTCCAGAAAGGCAGGGCCACCCTGTGCAGTTAGGCTGAACAAGCTGTATGCGGCAACCTTGGGAGAAGTAAAGTCACTCAGTGGAGATCAGGTATCTTAGACAACTGGGCTTCCAACTGGAGTTGGCCCACAGCTATGCTCTCCCAGTTAAGACTACAGCTGGAATCCCTCTGTCCTTGCACTACCCTGCCTGTTTGTTAGGGTAATGCTCTTAACCCCTAGAAGAATTACTCCCAGTTAAGACTACAGCTGGAATCCCTCTGTCCTTGCACTACCCTGCCTGTTTGTTAGGGTTTCTTTTTCCCCCTTCTTAAATGTCAGCGCCATCTTTTGACCCCTCCCAGGTGGGAGATGGGTGAGTTGCGTGGATCTAGAAGAAAGTCTCAGCCTTGGAAAGTCACATGACCTCTGGGAGTGTCGGTTTGCCCTTCTGTGAAGTGAGAGTGCACGTTAAAGGACTCGGTGCTGGGTATTCACGGTGCTCTTGACCCTCTCCACTGGGACCCGGGGTGGGTGCGCTTGCAGCCCTAGCTCCAAGCCCTCCACCAGCGTCTCTCCTCCCCCACAGGCTGGGGCTGCTGGTTTGTTTCTACGATGACCTGGAGCTGCTGGACGCCACGCTGGCCCAAATCCTCCTTCACCAGATGATCAAGTGCAGCCACCTGCGGGGCTTCCGCGCCCGTGTTCAGAAGGTGCGGATGGAGTCTGTGATCCCAGCACTCTGAAAGGTTGAGGCAAGAGGACTACAGGTTTGAGCCCAGCTCATGGAACACAGCAAAGTCCGTCTGAAATTAAAAAATAAAGAAGGGCTGGGGATGTAGCTCGGTGTGAAGGTCCTGAGTTCAGCCATCATTACAGGAAAAAGAAAAGTGCAGACCGAATGCATGTCTCCGGGGCCCTGGCCTCAGTTTTACCAGCCAGAGAAATGGGGAGAACACCTTCGCCTGACCTTTGAGAGAAAACATGTAGCATCGATCAGGATCTAAGTCCAGCCATAGAAGACGAGATCAGATGAGCATAACACGGGAAGGATGACAAAAAATAGCGTAGGAAAAAATCTTAGGACGATGGAAATTGAACCAGCTGTGCCCAAGTGAGACATGTGTAAGGGTCACCGGGGGTCTTTTAACACTTTATTTAATTTATTTATTTTTGTGGTACCAGGGATTGAACTCGGGGCCTTCACGCTGAGTTACATCTCCAGCCCTTTTTATTTTTATGTTGAGACAGGGTCTCTCTCGCTGCTAGGCTCCCCAGGTTGGGCTCAATCTCATCCTTCTGCTGCCTCCACTGGAAATTTAGGCATGCACACCATGCCTGGCTACATGGGGGTCTCAAATGCAGATCCGGACTCCGGAGGCCTGGGGGGGTCCTGGGGGCCGCACTTCATCCAGCTTCCAGACCATGCTGAGCTGCTGGGATAGTGCAGATCGACCAAGAATTCCGACTTGGCTCTAGACGCCCAACAGCCTGTCCACCAGGGATTGTGGTTAGCAGTTTAGGGTGTGACGTGAGCACATGTGGTGTTAACGCGCTTCCGCTTCCGGTGATTCCACTGTAACTGGGGTTGTGAACGTGGATTAGTGGTTTTATATATTGGTTTCGTTTTTTGCCTCCATATAATTCTGCAAAATTTGCTTTCCCCACACCTGAGTCATTTAGCTAAATTCATACCAATATTATCAGTCCATTCTTTTAAACTTAGGGACAGAATTTCTAGTTGTGACTCTACTGGTGGAATTTACATTGTTTTTAACGTTTCATGTGCCAACTATCTTGCCCTCCAAAGGGTCTGTAACAGTGATTATTTAACAATTTCCCCACCTCCAAATTGGTAGTGGTGACTCATTTCTCCTCAGTGTTTGATATTTGCATCTCTTACTGACCAGGTTCTGGACCAATTAACAAATACAGACTGTCTTATTTCCCTCCCTCCTCCATCTCTGTCTTTTTTCTTCCACTGAAATCTCAATTCTGTGGTCCTCCCTTTCAGTTTTTGGCGGGGAGGGAGGTGTACTGGGAACTGAACTCAAGGCTTTCATACCTAGCTACACCTCCAGCTCCTCGTAATTTTAAATTTGAGCTAGGGTCTTGCTAAGTTGCCCAGGCTGGCTCAAACTTGTGATCCTCCTGCCTCAGCATCCCAGGATGCTGGGATCACAGAGGTGCGCCCCCACACCCAGCTTCAATTTTTTTTTTCAATTGAAAAGATGTGAGTGATAGTAAAGAAAAATTTGATAAAGCCATCAATAATTCTACAGCAGTTTTTCACACATAATCCTAAAATCCCCAGTCACATTTGACAATTCATGTCGTGGTCACCTATCTTGGTCAATGTGTATGTGTTTTCGTTTTCAAGGAAAAGAAATCCTTCCCAAGCAAGCTCAAGCCAAAAATAAGAAAACGAATACATTTTATGGCCACAAAGGGGAGACCCCTGGCAGCCCTGACTGAGAAAGAAGTCGAACAGAGCTAGATACGGAGAACCCTTCGGGATCGTCTAGCTCAGCTGTTCTCAGATTCAAGTGTGCACCAGAATCACTGGGCAGGGTCACTAAAAATACAGATTCCCGGGCTTCTCGCGGCGAGCCTCTGCTTCAGCAACGCTGGGGTGAGGCCTGAGAATTTGCATTTCTAACAAGTCCCCGAGTGATGCTGCTGCAGCTGCTCGAGAGCCGCTCTTTGTGAGCCACTTAGCCCACCCTTCCTTTTACAGACCCGGGACCATCTCCAGGAAAGCTGACCCACTTAAAAAAAAAAAAATTGAAAAAATTTTTTTTGTTCCGGGGATCGAACTCATATCCTTGAGCCTGCGAGGCAGGAGGCGGAACCATTGAGCTAAATCCCCACCCCCACCCCGCACCCTCACCCACTAAATTGAGAGAAGCCAGGCGCTGCCAGTGGTTTCTTCTACTTCACTCTGCTGCTCCCTGGTGGCTACTTCCAAATTGCACGGCACAGTCGTGCGCGCCCCGCTGAAATGAATACATCGTTCGAACAAACTCTGGTTCAGTGGACCATCCTCAATGTTTTTGTATAGGGGTTAGGCGGTAGAGGAGAGTTTATCATTTTCCTTATCAGAAGCACTTGGGAAGCACACCTGGCTATAACTGTGCAGGCATATTGCAATAAACTAAAATGAACATAGCTGTACAAGACATAATTTTATGTGAAAAATATAGACCAGAAAATTGTACTCTTTATATTCCAACTGTGTAAAAACTGACTTATAAGGCTCTACACCCAATTACTAACATAGTTTCCCCCTCTGCTTTCTTCCTTTCCCTCTCCTCCCCTCCCCTCCTCTACCTCCTCCCTCCTTTCCTTCTTTTTTCTCCTCCTCTTTCCGTGCTGGGCATCAAACCCAGGCCTTTTTTTCATTCTAGGCAAGTGCTGCACCTCTAAGCCACACCCTGGCTGCTTCGCTATTTTTATGAACTAGGACTCTCAGAGCACTTTAACTTTTCTTGTGTTGTTGAGACTGATTTTTTCACAGATCACAAATTATCATGAAAAAGCCTCCAGTTGTTTCCCAAAAGAAAAATGGCTATATTTATGGATATAGAGTTCAAGGTCACAAAAGGAAAATATATGATGCAAGAGTTCAGTGGAGTTAGAAGGGAGCAAAATTCCCTCCTGCCATGCTTTCAGGTTGATTTAATAACTCATGAATATTTAAATGAAACACAGACTGAATTTTCAGCACATTAAAGCCAGGTTGAGAGGTGTTCTGAGTGGGGGTCCCCTTCTACCCTTCTTTGCAGGCTGTGATGGACAGGGTTGGGAGGGATGGTGGAATCCTGTGCCCAGGAAACAGCTGAGGGAGCCACGGCCCTGCTTCTTGCCAGTGCTCATTCAAGTTTGCTCTCCTCCTAGCTCAAAGCTGACCTCCTGGACATCGCCACAGAGAGCCAGACCCTTAACGAGACCCTGGGCTCTTTGTCAGATGCTGTCGTGGGTTTGACCTCTGGTCAGCTGCAATCTCTGTCTCCTGAGGCCGTGCACGCTGCCGTCTCCACCCTCAGCCAGGTCTCGGGTTGGGCCAAGAGCCAGGTCATCATCTTGTGTGCCAAGTACTTGGCCCATGAAAAGGTCAGTTGGAACTCTGAGTTTTCCTAGAGAACCCTAAGACCCTAGGGCCAGTGTGTTTGTCAGCTCAGGCTACTATAACAAAACACCATAGACTGGGTGGCTAAGACAACAGGAATTTAGTTCTCACAGTTCTGGAGACTGGGAAGTCCAGGGTCAAGGTGCTGGCAAAGTAAGTTTCATTCTGAGGCCTCTTCTTTTGACTTAGAGGAGGCTGCCATCTTGCCATGAGCTCACGTGACCTCCTGTGAGGCCCGGCTGCCTGGTGTCTCTTCTTATAAGGGCACTGATTCCAGTGGGCCAAAGCTCCACCCACCCCTAATTATCTCATGACTCATCTGGCCTCCAAGGCCCCACCACCAAATACCATCACACTGGGGTTAGGACTTCAACATACGAATTTTGGGGGACACAGAAGGAGCAACTGGACGTTGAGGAGATTGTGCTGAGGAGGATGACCTGGATTTGAACCCTCACTCTGCTGCTTACTGATTGTGTGACAATGTATGATTGCTCACTTTCAGTTTGCCTCAGTTCCCCTCTTTGTAAAATGGGGTAACAATAGTACGTTGCCACAGAGTTTATGTGTTGGCCGACAGAAAGACATCTGAACACCAGGTGGCATAGTAGAGTGTGAGTTTGTGTGTTAACTGTCATTGAGCTGCTGATCAATGTGTGAGATCCATCCCTGGGTATTCTTGCTTTTGTTTTTCCTTTTGAGATGAGGTCGTACTTTGTATCCCAGGCTGGCCTTAATCTCACAGTGATCCTCTTGCCTCTGCCTCCTCAGTGCTGGGAGTAGAGGCATGCACCACCAGGCCTGGCAGTTTCTTGCTTATTATTGAAGTTGCCCAATATACCCCAATATAGGACCAGGGGGTGACACTGATTATTTCAGTTGTGGGCCTTGAAGAGGGGACCCTTAGTGCAGAAGGTCCCATTTGGAACAGGGCCCTTAGTCTATGCTCTACTGGCTGGTGGGCTGGAAATACACCTCCTTTGGGGCAGTCTCCCTGTGTGGGGCCAGTTGAAAGAGGCCCAGACTCCGGGGCCCTGAGCCCTGAGCATTTGTGTGTCTTGTTCTTTCTGTTCATACACAGAGCTACTTCCCAGGATGCGCGTGTTCCAATATGGAACAAAAACAAATGTTTACTAAGCACTCACTCTGTGCCTGGCTCTGTTCGGAGTGAATTAATCATTTAATCTCTGCATCAGCTCTATGGGGTCAATAGTGTTATAATCTTCAGCTTTCAGTTAATTTATGTCAGGCAGAGGGTATGTAAAGAAATCAGCAAATCCACATAAAAGGACAAAGCTGGGATTGAACCATGTGCCTGCTTCCTGAAGGCCCATACCGTCTCTACCATGGAACCCTGGTCGCTGTCCCCCAAACACCCTTTTTGACCAAAGGCCAAAGCCGGCCCACACATCTTGTTCTTTATGGCCTCATGAAGACTTTAATTTGAAGGCCCTCAAGCATTTTCAAATTACTGGGCCTTGACAGTGGCTCCATAGGTCCACACTGATATTTCTGTGTGGATTTAGTCTTAGGAAGCTGAGGGGGACTATTTTGTTCATTTAGAACCCTGGAAAGAGTAGTTTGTCTCTTTCCCAGCGTGCAGTTACTCCTTCTGAGGGATGGGAACACTTTGACTCAGAGGCTAAGCACTCCAAAGTCTTGCCTTCTTTGGGGACAGTAAGAGAGTGTTCATTCTACAGAGAATAACGGAACGAAGCTTCTCAACTCTCTTTTTTGTAGAAGCAAGTTGTGCCTCTGATTATATGGAAAACCATCTAGCAGGTTCACCCTACGGGAGCGGGGAGAAAGCAGCCTCGTTTCTGACAGGATATCCAGCTCTGATTGTATTTGTCCTCAAACATCAGATTTCCTGATTCCCACCACAGCTTCTACATGGGGATAGAGGAGTGCAGGGTCCTTCCATGGTAGGATGCCTGTCAGGTCACATGAGTGGGAGGCATGGGCTATCTCAGGGCTCTGGGGGTGAGGCCTGCGTAAACCAGGAGCCCATGCTCCACCTCAAGGGGCGGCTGCTTTCAGCGCGGACTGTGCCCAGGTGGGAATGTTTTGCCTGATATTTAGATCTCTTTTTAAAAACAGGAACTCAAATGTGGATTTTTATGGGAGTTCTGCCTGTAGAACAAATTAATCTAAAAATTAAAAAGAATTTAAAAATGTTGTCAATTAGTTCAAATTAAACAGACACACGCACATGCATGTACAAGCACACGTTTATGCATTGCTGGCCCCTGGGCCTCACGGGCACCATTTCTTGACACTTTTATTGTGGGCTTGAATGACATAGTAATTTCCCCAGCAGATCCTTACCATATGACTTATGTTTTGGCATTTAATTCTAGTATAGTCAGTGTTTTTTTTTTTCTCCCTCTTCTTCTCCTCCTCCGTCTCCTCCTCCTCCTTCTTCATCCTCCTCTTCCTCCTCCCTTCTCCCTCCTTCCTCTTCCTCTTCCTCTTCCTCTTCTTCCTCTTCTTCTTCTTTCTTCTTTCTTCTTTCTTCTTTCTTCTTTCTTCTTTCTTCTTTCTTCTTTCTTCTTTTTTCTTCTACCAAATACCAGAGAGCAACAATTTAAAGGAGGAAAGATTTATTCATGGCTTTGGAGGTTCAGTCCATAGTTTGCCTGTCGAGATGAGGCAGAACGTCACAGTGCAACACCAAGGGCTCAGTAGAGGAAAACTGCTCAGTCATGGCAGATGGAAAGCAGAGTGAAAGGAAAAGAGCCCAAGAGGAAGGGGCGGGTACAAATTATACCCTTCAGAGCCCTGGCCCCAGGGACCCGCTCTGTCCAATGCCCACTGACCTACGAGCTCACCCACGGGTTAACCCAGGAAGAATTCAGAGCCTTCAAGATCCAGTCTCTTCCCCAAAGCCTGCCCCACAACACTGCTGCACTGGGGACCAGACCAACAGTACATGAGTCTTTGGGGGCCCTTCCCGTGGAAGTCACAACCTTCTTTTCTGATAGAAGTAAGAGAGGTCTGGGAGTGCAGCATCTGTCCTGCTCCTCAACGCCCCTCAGGTGTCATCCGCCCGATACCTGACATGCAGACAATAGGCCTGGGAGGTGAAAGGTCAAGCAAAAGCTCACCCTGTGGCCGTCCTCTGCCAGGTGCTGTCCTTCCACAGTGTCAGCCAGATGGGCGTGCTGCTGGCGGGGGTTGGCACCCAGGCCTTCCACGACATGGACCGCAGGGACCTCGTGCAGGTCCTGAGAAGCACAGTCTCCCAGCACCTGTCAGATCTGTCGCCTGCCCAGCAGCACGGTGTCCTCAGCAAGGTGAGAGGGAGATGCCTCGTTCTTAGCCACACGGAGGCTCAGCAGAATGTGGTGTGGGGTTGTGAAGGGGCTGTAACACCGGACCATTTGTTCAGGGCTGCGGTTATCTTAGTCACCGGCGTAGAGGGTTGTCCCGAATCCCCAAAATGCCTTCTCCTGAAGGCTCTTCTTCCTTTTCTCAGACAGTGCCTTTGGCTGTGCTACAGTTCTTTCCAGACAGACCCTGTTGCTCCCGCTCTCCAGTCTCATCTGGAAGAAGTCTCTCTCTCTCTCTCTTTTCTTTTTTTTTTTTTGGTACCAGGGATTGAACTCAGGACCTTGTGCTTGCAAGGCAGTTGGCAGAATTGCTGAGCTAAAATCCCCAGCCCATGGAAGACTTTTCTTAAACAAGGATTCTTGATCTAATAACTTCTTAAAAACTTCTTTTTCAAGCCTAAAAATGAAGCTGAAGTTTTGACAGCGTTTCTGAAAGACCCTTTCTGGGGTCCGGTGTCATGGCTGTCCACCTTACTCGCTTGGCAGTGGGACTTCTAGGCATCTTGTCCTTTAGAGCCCGCTGTGTCCAATTGTAAACCAGTTAAGAAATCAAGGCCAAGGGCTTCACATTGGCTCCTTATGGACAGCGGGGGCAGGTATGGTTAAGATAGTGTGGGTTTTTGAACAACACAGTCATGGGCTCGAATCTCATTTGTTGGCTTTCCACCAATCACTTTTTAAGCCTTAATGTTCCCAGCTCCAATGGAGATGCTGACAGTCCCTTCCTCAGGGAGATGCTAAGTGGATCTGATGCAGTTTATTGCCCATGGAGCAGTCTCTAGTTCTTACCCAGGTCTCCATGCACCTTTTAGAAGGTTCTCACTCTCTTTCTTTTTACTTTGGACAGCTGAATGGAGAAGCGGACACTGCCCCCAGCATTGCGGAGCTACAAGGGGCTCTCTTTAAGGAAGTGTCTCTCTTTGACTTAAGGAGAGAACCCCAACTCAACTTGACACTGCTGAAGGAGAAGGAGCTTCGGAGCAGCCAGGTACCAGCAGCATCTGCACATGTCAGTCTTGTAGTTCTGTCTCCTGGGAGTGGTTTGCTTTTGGGTTCATTTGGTAAAAGCAATTTTTTTTCCTTCTGTGGGATTCAACCCAGAAGGCATCATAGCATAGTATTAAGAAGTTAGACAAGACCTAGCATGAATTCTCACTCCCATTTACTTATTAGCTTTGGGGAAGCTGTTTCTCATGTGCAAAGTGGGAATAATTTCTAGCAAGGATCACTGAATCATGCCACCCGGCCATGCACAGCATGCTGTAAATGTTAGTGGTCATCACGTGCATTATTAAATACTGCTGCTAGCACTGAGATGGCCTGGGGAGAATGTGCCACCGAGACTGATGCCTGGCCATAGAGCTTTCTCTGTCTTCCTGACTAGTTCTTCCACTTTCATTTCATTCACTCCTCAAGTGTTTAGTGAGCACCTATTAACCACATGGCCAGCGTTGCTCATGGTTCTGGAAGTGCAGAGATGAACAAAACAGACAAAAAAAAAAAATCCCTCTCTTTTCCAGGGGGTCTTGCTCTGGCATCTTACATGGTTGGATGAAGTTACAATGGTTGATGGCTATGTAATAAACCACCGTCAACAGACAAAAAAAAAATCCCTCTCTTTTCCAGGGGGTCTTGCTCTGGCATCTTACATGGTTGGATGAAGTTACAATGGTTGATGGCTATGTAATAAACCACCGTCAAACTCAGTGGCAGGAGTAATTATTTTACTTTGGAAAATATACTTTGACACCAACGACATGGAGCTATTTTTGGCCCAGCAATTGAGTTAATGGACTTGCTATTTCCTGAGTTGGGGAAGATCTTGAGAGGATCCTTGAACCTGCCCTTGGGCCCTAGGAAACCTCCAGGGCCACTCTCAGGGTGCCCAGGGCTCCCCTTCGCCCCGACTCCTCTCACTGGGCCTTCCCGATGTTTGAGGGCCCTCACATGCCTGCCGTGTTACAGAAGCGCCTGTCTTGTGCTAGCTCATAATTTACTCTGTTTGGGGAATTATGCTCAAAGTTTCAAAGTCTATAAAATAGATGAATGTCGTACTTGATCGCATCTGCAAGTTAGGTATTCTGTAAAATTATGCTGCTTAAAACAAATGAGTCCCCTGCCGACCATGCATTGTTCTCTTAGAGTGTTCATCTGGGAAGGCGTGCGGTGCACTGCAGCAGGCCTCCCCTTATGGATGGCACTTCCGATCCTGGGCTATTCAGCTGTTTTGGCTTTGGGATGCCCTGTGCTCCTGACTCACAGGTGGGCCTGCAGAGAGGGGCTGCGGCTGCAGAGTCCTCCAGGTTCAGTGGCTTCCCAGAGCACAGCAAGCAAACCCCAGCTCTGTCTGGAATATAATCACGTGGCCCCTGGGATTACTATGACCCCAGCTCCAATCCTCATGGCCACTAAGCAAGTGTCTGGTCCTGGGTTAGTAACGTAACTCTGTTCACCCTGTTTCCTCATCTGTAAAATGGGAGCCTCCCGGTGTCGGGCACCCTCTGCCCTTCAATCTCTCTTTCCCCTCAGGCCTTGTTTCTATATGAGCTCCTGTCAAAGGTGACCGGAAGGCCCGAGGAACTCCTGAGGTAGGAGAATGTAACTCAGTCCAGGGCCCTCCGGCGGGGAGAGCTGAACAGTCCTGTCTGTAGCTGAGGTCGGAATGAACCTGTCTTCTCTTGCTCCACCTTCCCTCTCTCCTCCCTACCCCTTCTCCTCCCGGTCCTGCTTTGTTTTCTAGTGTGGGGCAGCTGGTCAAAGGCGTGACATGTGCCCACATTGATGCCATGGATGCCAGCTCCTTCCTGGCCCACTTCCGGTATTTCGAGAACAATCTCTCCCTGCTTTCACCAGCTCAGGTACCACCGAAGCGTTTTCCTGCTTCTGTCTCTCTCTCTTTCCCCTACTCACTGGGCCTGGAATGACTGTCGTATCTGAAGATATCTATGCCAGAATTATTCAGATTCAAGTGATGACGCCAAATATCGAATGAAGTTTTCTCCTGTTTCTTTTTAAAATCTCCAAGTACCAACATCGCTACAGCCGAAGTTTGAACAAGCTGGTTTTCCCATACTCATACGGGAACCTTAAAAATGTGTAAGGTTTACCCTCCGTGTGTTCGGAGCATGTCCTCCTGGGACTGAAGGTCGCCCCTCACCTAACGTTCCTGTCCTTTCCATGGGTTGCTGAGAATGGGGACAATTCTCTAGGAGCATTTTCTTTCTTTTTTAATTTCTAAATGGTCCCAGAGACGCTTTAGCTCTTTGGGGAGACTGGAGGCAGTAACTGACTTTTTATAGTAGCCAAGTTAGTAAAAAACAAACAAACAAACAAACAAACAAAACAAGCGTTGGGCACAGTGTTGTGTGTAGAGTCCTGAGAGAGAGGTGGTGGGTACCGAGGGCATTGATTCAGACCCAGGTTACAATTTCCCAACAGGGGGTTCTTTCTCCCACCCCCAACCACTAGTGGGATCCTTTGCGATCCTTTGAGGGGGCAGAAGGGGGTGCTCAGGAGGAGGAGCCGTGTGGACTAGGATGTGACCCCTCTGTGGCGCGCCCTGCTAGCGCCCTGCTGGGCATCCCCGCCTTTGCGGGAATTTTGCACTGGAGATATGTAGCAACGCTTTTTGAGAGTGACCATCGCTTTTCTCACTTTTCTGCTTTGGAACCGGAGATGTCTTTTTGCATTGCAATGGATCTTTCTTGTTCTCACCTCAAGAACATTACCGAAACACCTTCATGCGTGGAAGGCCTGTGGATGATTAGGAACAACAGGCTCACTGAGCATCGCCTTGCGATTAACACAGTGAAACGATTCCGTTTCTATCCCGAGAGAGGCCTGGTGGATTGTAGTGCAGTCAGAGGAATAATGAATTTATCTGGGCTAGAAACCAGCGCCTGCTGGAGTTGTCGCCAGAGTGGGATCTCCTAGGAAGTTGAGAGCTGGGAAGGATTGGAGACCCTGCTTCCTTTTGATCTCCGATGGACAAATGGTGGGATTGCTCTTCCCCTGGCTGCACACCTGCGTGGAAGTCCAGCAGGGGTCTAATTACAGGACTGTGCTGCTTTTTCAACCGTGGGGAGGCCCATCTCTCCCACAGAGCGCTGCATAGCCTTGCCTGGAGCTTCAGCTGGAGATTTTAACTGATTCTCAGGACCTCCAACAATTATGGAAGCCATTGCACAGCCCTCTGTGACACCAGTGTTGCACACTTTACATATTTTTTTTATACATTATCTCCCATGTGTGTAATGGGGTACATCGATCAGAGCAAATTTCAGATCATTTGTAGGAACACAGTTTCAGGATCTTTGATATTTGGAAATCCAGTGCTCTTATATTGCTTCATCTTTGCTAACGGCATGGGAGATAATTCTAAAGAGAAATAAAATTCATAGATTGGAAGTATCTGAACTCAACTTTTGACTAATTCCAGGTTGTGGCTGGTGGCTTGGAGTAATCATGTGGAATTTTCGGATGTCTAAATTTTAGACATTTCAGACCACATTATCCTGAGTGACCAAAATCTTACAGTGTACAAATTTTGGTACCTTAATGTACACCCATGCTCCTGAATCTGACTTCATGGGACAAGCGACCGAGATGCACAAAGATGTTACTAGTTCCAGTTGTTATGGTGATTGCTTATTTTATCTTTAAAAAGCCTGTTCCCAACATTTTATGTGCCTTATCTACAAACACTTATCTGAGAAAACACCTCCTTAAACATGGTGGGCTGGATTTTCATGCACTGCTGTTAGCATTGATAGCCCTTGCTATTTCAATTTTGAGGCTGGAGCTGTTTTTGACACTGCACATGTATATTACGGCTTCCTTGATCTGCTCTCTGATGGCTCTTTGGCTGACTTTCTCTCAGAACTCGTTTGAGAGTTTTATCTTTGGCATTCTAACGGAGCTATCAATTCAAGGTTGTGTAAAAAGCCATAATCAGTGGAGCATAATGGGAGATTTTACTAATCTGCCTCAGAAAGAATTTACACAGTGGATCAAATGGGATCACTGGAGCTCCAGTGGATCCCATTACACAGTGAATCAAATACGGGCCCAGATACTGTTTTTGTAGGAGCCGCCCGGACCACAGAGAGCATCAAGCTGCCCACGCTGTGCCCCAGCGTGTGCCTCTGCCCTAGAACGAAAGGGTTTATCCTGTGTATAGTGGAGAATCAGTGAGAGGGGGAGCTACATTGCCGGATCTGCATGGGATGACTGTGTTTTAGAAGGAGCACGGTGGATTTGGAGAGCTAAGGCCGCGGTGTCCTGGGAATCAGGTCGTGGGAGATCTGCTCAGTGCAGCCAAGCCCTCAAGGGCGCAGTGCCTTCCTCACCACCACCTTTCTCAGTGCCTGGTATGGAGGATCGAAAGCCCAGTAAGAGGGACACTATTCCAGCTACTTCTCGTGCAAAGAAGGTGGTGCAGAGAAGGCATCAGAGACGCAGGCTTAACATTCATTAAATCACAGGGTTTAATAAGAGATGCTTAAAATAAGAGACTAAGAATGGCTTAAAGTTTTTCTGATTACTAAAAGCAAATCAATTTTTTCTCCATTGAATGTCAGCCTTGTTAAGCTTGTCACATAGATCATTTGAGTAATGCTCAGGAAGGATCTTCTGTAATTTCTACTGTTTTTAAAGACCCTTTCCAGTGGAAGTGTTTTTAAAAACAGCTTGTTTGGAATCTCTAGGAATTTGCTAACCCAACCAGTTAAGTATTTCCCCCTGTTCTCAGTCTAAATTCAACAGGTATTAACCTGTCTTTAGAACGCAGTCATTTTTGTCTTAATATCTGGGTAAAATGAAAATTGGTGGTTAAACATAATCAGAAAGGAAAATCCAGTTAAATTTATCAAATGAGATTATCAGCTGCTAAATCCTGAATGAAGCAACGGCCTTTTTGTCTTAACAGCTCCTGACGTTTTCCACATAGCCTTTGTCTCCAGCCAACCTCTTTTGTAATACGCATCTATAAATCCTCATTTATGTTTGATTTTGGATGAGGAAGCTCATGATTTATAAGCCCTTTCTCCCAATAAAACCTACCGAACAGTACTTTTTTGACAAATGGTAAGTGGTTGTCTCAAAGAGCAGGTAGCCAAATACAGACTAGTACTGACTCTTCCTCTGCCTAACACATGCTAAATATGCATGTGTGTGTTCAATGTAGGTAATAATTTTGGAGTTTTTATGCTTTTACTCCCTTATAGCCTTGGCCTTCTATCCTTGGGCTAACGGAATGCTTTAATTCCATAGGTTAGTTCATGTATAGTAGGCAGGCAATCACACAGAAAAGAAAGAATAAAGTTATTTTTTCAATCTCTATACTTGTAAAAGATTTTCGTATAGGCTACAAAAGAGCTAAGAAAGAATGCCACATTTTATTGATTTTAGCATTCTTAAATAATTTGTTTTTTGCTGTAAGCGTGGAGTGAAGAAAACACCTGACATTCATAAAATTAGAGAAACACGTTTTAGATAATGTTTTCATAGGGAATATTTTAAAGAAGTTGGCAGAATTCAACACAAAAAAGGGTGAGCTGTATTAACTAATAAACTCTTCCAAATGCAAACAAAATAAAGATATTAAGAGAATATGCAAAGTTTTAATAGTGCTCGGTCATTTCCTTGGTTTATCTATTCTGCAAGTGCTTCTCAAACTTGAGCTTGTATAAGCATTGCCTGGAAGGCTTATTAAAACACAAATTGGGGGTCTGGGTGTTGCTCGTGGTACAGCTCTTGTCTAGAGCTTTCCTAACATGGGAGGCAAGGCTCTGCCTCCACCATGGTAAACAACAGAACAAACAAACACCCCAATCTCAGTTTCCCATAAATTAGGTCTGGGGTGAGGCCTGAGAATTTTCATTTCTTTCTTTCTTTTTCATAGCACCGGGGGCTGGACCCAGGGCTTTGTGCACGTTAAACAAGCACTCTACCACAGAGCTATACCCCTGGATGGCAGACTTTGCATTTCTAATTAGTTCCCTGGTGAGAACCATCAAACTATGTTAAGAATCCTGGCCAGGCGGGCAAATCAATAACTGAATAAGTGAATGGAGGTCAGACCTGCTTTGGGGAGGACCTATCTGTTGGAGTAGGAGCAGTTTCCCCAGCAAGGTGCTACTTAGATTACCAGGGGTCAGAACCTTCAAATACCAGTTAATTAGAAAATTTGTCTGTATTGTTCACATTTCACTGAAAATACATAATTATCCATAAAATAAAACAACACGGAAGAAGTAAAATTTCCCTAGAGCAGTGGTTCCCAACAGAGGACTGTGTTGCTCTCTAAAGGCCTACTGGTGACACTTGGTTGTCACCAGTGGAGTGCGGGTATGGGTGGATGCTACTGCCATCTAGTGGGTGGAGGCCAGGGATGCTGTCCAGTGTCCTGCAATGCACAGAACAGCCCTCAGAATAAGACTTACTTGGGTCGAAAATGTAAATAGTCCTGAGATTACGTGTCCCTCTTCCACGGGTTAGAACAGAAAAATTTAGAGTTTTTTTCTTTGAAGTGTATACATATATTTGCATGTAAGTTAAAAAATACAAATGAATTTATACTATCCACTGCATAGTATTCTATTGTATGTGTATGCCATCATTTACTTACCTAATCCCCTACTGCTGGACATTCAGCTTAGGTCTCACTTTCTTATAGTTACAAGTGAAATTGTGATGAGCATTATCACACTTAAACTTTTGTGTTCATCTTTATTAACCCTGTTTCCTCATCTGTAACGTGAGCACAGTAGCAGTACCCACGGCTAGGGCGTTTTATACATAAATGAACATCTAGAAAATGCTTGGAACAGTGCCTAGCACACAGAGAGAGCATTCTGTGTTTGCCCTGGTTATTATTGGACTAAATTCCTAGAACCACTCCTCTTCCAGGTTAATTGCTTGGCGTGGAAACACTGGGACATTTCCAGGTCGACTATTCCGCTGTTCCTTTTGGCTACACTTCCGTAAGTGAATGTGGGCCCCTCTTCACTGGCTTGGCAGCCAGAAGGGTGGGATTGTCTGAGCCAAAGTGATTCTCCCCCCTGTGTTTTATTGAAAATCCAGAGGCAGCAGGGAGAGTGCCTTACACAGTGAAGCTCTCGGGAACTAGGAATTAAATTCTGAGCCCCACATAGATTTTCAAACTCTCTTGCTTTATCTTTTATTTAAAAACAAAAGGCAAAGCACCCTGCCTGTGTGATTACCAGTGATACAGGTATCACTTGGCTTGGCCTCTGAGGTAGGCCTGAGAGGAGGGAGAATGAGGCCTGATGGGAGCAGTGGGGACTTCCTGCTTTGTGGACCTCTTTTCCTCCCCTCAGTCTCCCTGTCTCTCTCCAGGGCACGCTTCCTGGCTTCTGTCCCAGACTCCCAGTGTGTGCCCTTTCTGATCAGCCTGGGGAAGATTCAGTTGGACTCCTTGGTTTTAGATCCACACAAAAAGAATTTGGTCCTCAGGAAAGTCCAGCAGTGCCTGGTAAGGAAATTTTGTAAGTGACATTCTCACCGATGTCCCTTCCCCTTGGGGTATCTGGGGCCATCTGGGGAGCCCTTGAGCAGATTTGGCTGGGATCTTGAGCCTTCTGTGATGGCAAGAGATCTGACTTGTTCTAAAATTCCTGGTTGGAGCCATTTGGCGATGGTTCTATAGACTCCTGTTCAAGGGCCTGAACGAGGGGAGGCCACCCTGGAAGACTGGGAAGAAAGCATGGTGTAGAGTCTGAGTTCTAGGCATGCAGCAGTTAGTTATGAGGCATTGGGAAAGTCACATTCCTCCCCTCAGCCTCAGTCTTCTCCTCTGTGAGGTGGGTGCCTTCTAGAGTTCTGGAGGGCATAAAGCAGGCACTGTGTTGTCAAGGCAGAGTTCCCAGGCTGCCTGGGAAGCTGTCTCTAAAAAATTGGATGATATTAGTGGTCACCTCTGACAGGTATTGGGGACATTAAATGGATTAAGACCTGCAGACACTTAAAACAGTGCCTGGCACATAGTGAGCACACAATAAATGTAAGCTGTATTTTTTCCATTTTGAGAAAGGACTTTGAAAACTTTCAAGTGCCGAACAAACTCTGAAACACTGTTTTTTAATATTATACTATGGTGCTTGTTGAACTCCAGAGATTTCCCTAGAGCTGTGACAACAAAAGCCCTCATCTACTGAGTGCTCAGAATGTGCCCAGCTAGGTTTTCTCAGACTTTTGAGGTCAGTCTCCCTGGGGAATCCAACCGGGGGACTCGTCTCTGTGGTCCATGCAGGGAATCTTTAAGAAGTGTGAGGCAGGAAGTATTTTTAAGGAATCTTGTCCTTGAGCCCTGCTGGATCTCTCATCAGCTTCACTTGTTGGTTTCAGGACAATTCCACTGCTGATGAGTACATCGTGGACATCGTGGGGAACCTGCTCTGTCACTTACCTGCATCCTTCATCGAAAGGGGGATCTCCCTGAGGGCCTGGGCCACTGCTCTGCACGGCCTCAGAGATTGCCCAGACCTCAGCCCCAAGCAGAAGGCTGCGGTGAGGCTCAGGCTCCTGGAGCAGTGCGGGTGAGAGGAATGGGGCTCAGCTCTGTGGGGCTAAGGGCGCTAGGCGAGGGGGAACAAGGCTCACCTCTCCTGCCCCGTCGGAGGAGACAGTCTCTAGCACAGGGTATGATCAGATGCCTGTACCTATTCTGGAAAAGTGAACTTCCTTTGGCTTTGGATTCCCTGGGAAGTGGGACAATTGTAGCTGTCAGCAGGCCTTACATGGTTGCCGTGACACACCCTGGCATGTGGAAGGAAAAGAGTTTTGAAAAGATAGCACTTTAAAATGTAAGGTTTGGAATTATTATTGTCTTAAGAAGTCTTTCATTTGATGATCGCTAACTGCAGACCTATCTTCTGGGTCTGATATTCTGTCCTCACATTGGTTGATTCTGTGGCATATACATTCAATAGGATTTTTTTTTCTCTCATTGAGTTTATTGGTACATTTTAGGTAGACAGTACAGTTACATTTAGCATTGGGATCTTGTACCTTTACATGACAGGTCTTGGTTCTCATTTTTTCCCCTCGTCCCTGCCCTCCCTTCACCCCCTCCTATGCTCCCCATTTACAAACACTTTATTTCCATTTTATTTCATTGTCTCATATTTTTTTCTTTTCCCTTATTACCTTTCCCCTGCCCTTCCCACTTTCTGATGGGAGCAGTCGCTACCCTTTAGCCCTTTTTCAATAGTATTTTTAATCTATTGGATATCTGTTTAAATCTCCTTCATGGAATCCAGTTCTTTCCTATGTTGAGCATTCATGGTTTCCATCACTTTCCTAAGCTCCTTTATTTTTATTTGTTTGGTTTTTTGGTCTCAGATCCTCTATTTAAAAAATCTGTGTCTACTCTAGATTCACTAACCATGTCCTTATTATGGTCATAGTCTTTTTAATTATCTGTGAAATAATTTCTGATTTTTTTCTAGAGCCTCATTCATCTGCTTTGTTACTTCTGCTGCTACCGTTTCAGAAATTTCATCTGGGTGGCTTTTGATTTCTTCCACCTCAGTGCTCCCTGGATTTGCCTTGGGTGAGCTGGAGGTCTGGAGTTACATCTTGGTTCTGTGTCATCTCATTTTCTAATTTTAAAAACTTGTTTTCTGTGTTGATGCTTGTAAATTGCTTATGAGGTAGCTTTATTATTAGTGTTGAGACCTCCTAAGGAAGTGACCACTTTTCAGAGATGTCTTCTAGGCACAGCTGGCTTTTGGCTTTTGAGTCTGTCCCAAGATCCTGCCTCTTCTATTTATTAGAGATGAGAAGTTGCTGCCTATTTGGCTTAGCACTTAATTTTTTGGTACTGGGCTATGATATTGCTTATGACACCCAGACAATCTTTTATTATTATTTTTTGGTACTGGGGATCAGACTCAGGCCCTTGCACTTGCGAGGCAGGCTGTGGAACCACTGAGAAAAATCCCCAGCCCCCAGACAATCTTGATATCGGCATATAAGGAATATTAAATAATCACAGCCACCATGTCACCTTGGCTAAAGTAGCACAATTACTAATAACAATGGCATCTAGCAGAGTCTAGTAAACTACAGACTGTGGCAACTGTTGATTTGGAAACTTTAACCACAGGTACACATTTTGTAGTTATATAATAAAATGTAAAACAAATCAGAAAGTTATATACAGTAAATATCCTTTCAACAGAGCAGTGTTACCCTTGGAAGAAAATTGAAAAGGGACAGGAGGAAAAAATAGAGAAATAAAAGAAGAGAAAGAGATTAGAAACAAGGCTTAAGGACAAAGGACAATTACCCAAGCTTTGGGAAACTGGTGAAGAAGGCAGGAGAGAAAGAAAGAAGGAAAAAAAATACACCAAAAAAACAAAAAAAAAAGAACACAAAAAAACAAAACCCTAAAAACAATGTTCACACTTATGAAAAAAGAAAGAAAAAAAAAATACACCAAAAAAACAAAAAAAAAAGAACAAAACAAAACAAAACCCTAAAAACAATGTTCACACTTATGAAAAAAATAAACATGCAAACCATAGTGACAACAACCAAAGCAAAGAGAGATAAAAGATTTCTCTGTAATTTTGAGCCTGTGATTGTCTTCTGGGGTCTACAGTTTTGTGATAGTATCCAATCAGGGTGTGTCCCCACTGTCATGGTAGACAAAGGAGGCAAGCAGAGTCCAGATCCAGGCTGGATAACCCCAGCCAGCCTTCAGTAGGAATAGGGTGGGGTGCTGATTCTGGTGCTTTCAACTCCACAGAAGTTCAGGCTGATCCTAGCCTCTGGTTGTGGCTTTGGGGCCTGAATTGTTCAGCCTATAACACTGTGGGTATCTCTTGCTGGCCTGACCTTGGCTCCTTGACCCTGGATGTCACCCAGTCACTGGGAGCCCTGACAGGGAGCCAACCCATGGCTGCTCTGAGTTCCAGGTTCAGTTGGCCTCTCCCTAAAATGGTATCTGGCCAAGCACTCTCTCCAGGGGACGCTTGGACTACAGTTACCCACCAGCTATTGTAGTTCACAGCACCCACTGCTCCGTCCCACTGTTGCGTTTCTCTGTGAAGACCTCTGGAGTCACATGAGCTCATTGTGTCTCTGTAGCCTCCCTTCTCACACTGCAAGCCAGGAGTCAGGGAGAAGGTGCAGTTTGCCACTTCCTTTTTCTGTGTTGAGGTCTGTTTCTTCACCTCCCCGTGGGCTCCAATTCTCCCTTCAAATCTGTCCTGGTTCCCAAGGATCCACCTCCCTCCTTTTCTTCCTCAAGTTGTTATATTCCACTGTCTGGATTCTGAATCTCGAGGATGCTGATTTGCTGCTGTTTACCACTCTGCCATCTTTCTAGAAGTCCATTTTTATTGTTTCAAAGAGTAGTTTTTGGGCTGGGGATTTAGCTCAGTGGTTCTGCCACCTGCCTTGCAAGCCCAAGGGCCTGAGTTCAATCCCCAGTACAAAAAAAAAAAAAAAAAAAGTAGTTTTTAAGGGCAGTTTCAGGTTCATAGCAAAATTGAGAGGAAGGTATACAATTCCCATATATATCTTGCCTAAGTATATTCATAATTTTCTCATTGTCAGCATCTCCCAGCAGAGCAATTCACTTATTATAATTGGTGAATTGACATTATTATTATTATTACATTACCATTATTACCCAAAGTCTATAGTTTACATTGGGAGTTATTCATGGTGCTGTGCATTTTATAGGTTTGAATAAATGTATGAAAGCATATTCACCATTAAATGTCATTCAGAATGGTTTTACTGCCCTAAAAATCCTCTGTGCTACGTATATTTATTCTTCCCTCCCCTTCCTTTTTGGTCACCACTGATAATTTCACCTTTCCCCGAATACCATATCCTTGGAAGCATGCAGTATGTAGGCTTTTTAGATTTGCTTCTTTCTTTCAATATTGTACACTTAAGTTTTTTTCCATGTCTTTTAATGGCTTGGTAGGTAATTTCTTTTCAGTGCTGATCAATATTCCACTGTCTGGAGGTACCACATTTTATGTAGAGAGCTGCCTGCTGAAGGACATCTTGGTTGCCTATGGGTCTTGGCCATTATGAATAGAGTTGCTATAAACATTCATATGCAGATTTTTTTGTGTGAACATAAGTTTTCATCTCCTTTGGGTAAAAGCCAAAGTGGGCAGTAGGTGGCTCATAGGGTAAGAATGTATTTAGTTTTCTAAGAAGCCATCTTACTGTCTTCCAAAGTAACTACCATTTTGCATTCCGACATTATTGATGATGATGATGATGGTAATGACGGGAACCACCACCTCCAAGTGAATCAGATGTCCCTGGAAGAAAGCAGAACTGCTCTTTCCCCTGTAGTGTCTCATGAGAGAGACATTTGAGTAGGACCTGGTAGCTATCAGTCCGGGCTGAGATGATGAGTACTTTTTGAGCAATTATGGTATCACAGGCATTATTCTATTGGGTAGAATTTAACAGCATGAACTCAGGAGTCACAATCTTTGGGCTGAAAATTTGTTTCTATCATTTACAGTCCAGGTGGCCTGGGAAAATTGCTTAATCTTTTTGCGGTTTAATTTTCATGCCTGTAGAATGGAGACAGTTACTGTCCCCAGGAGGTGGTTGTGATGATTACACGAGTTGATATAGGTAAAGAATGTATAACAAGACCTGTCACGTGAGTGCTGAGCATGTGGCAACTGTTTTTCTAGTAGGACTAAGAGTAAATGGTTATTGAAGTAAGTGTGGTTTCTGCTCTCATGAACTCATGATACTTTTTATGGAAGAAATAGAGGTGAGGATGCTTGGAGCAGGGGTAGTGGCCTTGTGGAGGTTATCACTACTGATTTGTGTAGATCTCTTTTACAGATATCACCAAAGATAGTGTCAAGTGCTTAATTATAGACATTTCTGATCTGTCTTAGAACAAAATTCTGGGTTATGCTGTCATCCTGCCAAAGTCAAGAGAAAAAAAATGTTTTTGTAGGAGAAGACTTTTCAGGTAACTGAATAGAAAAAAACCCCATTATTACTCGTATATTCAGGACTGGAAGGAAGGAAACTTTGTGATATAAGTAGTAGAAACTTAATAATTTGACTCAAATTTACAAATACAATATAACGGGAAACTGCATGGTATTGACGTCAGGCATGGCGGGATCTGAGTCACAAATGTTCCTTCTATTCCTAAGCTCAGAATTCCTTGGTGTAGCCTTTGTTTTCTCCATATGCTGACAGGATTGGCCTCCAATCTCCTCTTTACTGGAGGAGATCTTAGGAAAAAGAGAGTCCCTCAGGTAGTGCCATCGAAATTCCAAGGGATGACTCTCATTGGTCAGCCTGCATCACATGCCCATTTCTTTTGACCAGAAAAGTGGGGCCTTGTTATTGACAGATTGACAGGCTTTCTACATACTAAGAATGGTCTGTTCTTTTTTTTTTTTTTTTTGAGGCAGCATCTCACTATGTAGTTGAGACTGACCTGGAACTCACTGTGTAGTCCAGGTAGTCCAGGCTGATCTCGAACTCACAGTGATCCTCCTGCCTCAGCCTCCCGAGTCCTGGGATTACAGGCATGTGCCACCACACCCAGCTAGAATAGTCTGTTCTTGAAAGTAAAAATTCTAGAGTATAAGGGCAGAAGCTGTGCCACATGGGGTTTTTATTTTACTGTGTTTCATCTCTTAGACCCCCACAGAACTGGACTGTGGAGACTGTGAAGGACTCGGGACCTTTTCTCACACTCTTCTCAGGAGATGAGCTACGTTCTGTGGCCATGAAGGTACCTCTGTGTTCACTTTTGTGAAGGCTGAAGAGTTTGAAGGGCAGGAAAGTAAGGTCTCTTGTATTCCTTGGGTGCTATAGTCTGTGGTTCTGGAAGCTTCTTCCTTTCCTCAGCAGTTTTCAGCTCCATTTCAAGTTGCCCAAGGCTCAGGTTAAGGGAGTAAGGCAAGGGCTAAATAGACTCTGTCACTTAGCTTTTGTTTTTTTGAGACAGAGTCTTGTTGCATGGCTTGGCTGGCCTTGGACTTGCTATGTACATCTTGAACATGCTGTGTAATCCAGGCTAGCTTTGAACTCATGATCCTCAAGTCTTAGCTTTTTTTATTTGGTTTTATGTTGGGGGGGTCTCTCTTTAAGTTGCCTAGACTGATCTTGAACTCCTGGGTTCAAGTGATCCTCCTACTTCAGCCTCCTGAGTATCTGGGACTACAGGTGTGTGCCAGTGCAGCCACTTCCGCTCAAGTTCTTATGTCCACCAGTACCATATGCTCATGCACATGCATGCCCAGGTGTACAATCTCTGGGGCAAACACATTGAACCTCAAGACATAGTCTTATTGGGCCAGGGATTTAGCTCAGTAGTTCTGCCACCTGCCTCACAAGCTCGAGGTCCCAAGTTCGATCCCCGGTACCAAAAACAAAATAAAACAAAAAAAAGACATAGCGTTACTGGACATCAGCTTTGTCAGGGCATGGTGGTCAGAGTGGCTCTCCACAATAAGACAGTCTGAGCCAAGAGTCGTTAAAGCCAAGCAGAAATTAGTCTCTTTCTGCTGTGTAAGTGAAGCCACACAGTGCCACTGGCATATAAAGAGTGTTTCCTGCTGCCTTGTCTGTGGGCCACTGGGGCAGCTGCACATCTCCCTAAGTCCGTCTCTGGAGCCCTTGATGGTTCTTTTCACCGAGAAGGTCTGAAGCTCCAGGAAATGGAGCGGAAAAATGTAGTTGGAAAAATGACACTCACTTCGGCTGCATGCCAATGGCCAAAGAAAGTCACGTGATTAAGCCTCACCTTTACGGGGGCCGGAAGTAGCTTCTTTCCAAGGAGGTGGAGGGTAGGGAAGGAATGAATGCCTGCTGGACAACAGTCAGATCTACTGTGAGCACAAAATCTCACACTGCCCTACCTGTACCGCTGCACAGGTGCACGATACCTGCTCAACGGGGCTTTCCAACACAGAGACACAGACACACACACACACACACACACACACCCCACTCCGGGGCACATGTGTATCACACACTGGTCATTTCATCTTCTCAGTGTTCAAACATACAGTCATAAGGTCCAGGGATTTAGCTCAGTGGTGCTGCTGCCTCTCTTAAGCGTAAGGTCCTGAGTTTGATCTCCGGTATCAAACAAACAAACAAACAAACAAACAAACTAACCAACAAACCATACAGTCAGAAGCAGTAGATATATAAATATTATCATACTAATCTAATCTTTAAAAATTCAACTTCAGGGGTGGGGTGGTGCACACCTGTAATGCCAGCACTCTCGGAGGTTGAGGCAGAAGTATTGTGAGTTGGAGTCCAGCCTGGGCAACTTCTTAGGAATCCACCTCAAAATAAAAAATAATAAAAGGGTTGGTGATGTAGCTCCATGTGAGGTGAATAACCCCCAGTATTGAAAAAACAGGGGGAAACTTCTAAAATCACCAGTTTTATATAAACACGGTGAGATCTCAAGAAACAGGACGTAGAATTAAAGAAAAAAACCCACCAGGTTACAAAGAATATGCATAGTAGGATACTGAGTATGTGAATAAATAGTAGCTAAATTAACCTGAAGCACATGCAAAGCCAGTGTATATGTAAGAGAAATGTAAACGTGTGTAGGGTTAGGCTTAATGCCAAATTCAGCCCCACAGTTACTTCCTGGGACGGAGGGAGACGGAACAGTAAGGGAGGGACCTATTGATTGTATCTGTGATATTTTATTTCATAAGCTGGATGGTGGTTCCATGGATGTTTTGTTGTATTATTCTCTATGCTCTTTTTTTCATGCTTTGAATGTATAATAGAACATGTAATATTTGCTCCTGGGTAAAAAAAAAAAAAAAAAATCCTAACTGCTCCAAAGGCTACAGCATGAAAAATAAGAGTTTTTCCACCCAGATTTCTAGTTCCCCAGCCTCCCTCCTCAGAGGCAATTGCTGTTCTGAGTTTCCTCCGCATTTTTTCAGAAAAATCCTACCCACAGCTACATACATGCTCCCCTTTAAAGGCACAGCATTGAAAACACCAGTCACTCTGCGAAGCACTTTGCATTTTTAAAAGTTAACCAGAGTCATGCATCGCTTGGTGGCAGGGAGAAGTTCTGAGCAGTGCATAACTAGATGATTTTGACACTGTGTGAACAACACAGAACGTATTCACACAAACTGACATCAGGAGAGAATATGATCTCAGGGGCCCACGGGCAGACACGGGGCTTGGATTGATGGAAAACATTAATTGGTCCTCGGCTGTCCTTTTAGATGACTGGCAGTGCAATAAGTTTGTTTACACGGCAGCACCACAGACACGTGGGGAGGTATTGCTTTGGGATGGCAGCGGTGTCCCTGGGCACCAGGGATTTTTAAGCTCCATTACCATTTTAGGGGACCAGCACTGTGCGTGTGGCCTGTCACTAACTGTAAGGCCATCACGCAACTCATGAGTGTATCTTAGAGCTGCCACCCAGCCTGAGCTGCACTTGAGAGTCAACTGGAGAGATCCTGATGTGGACATCTAGCCCAGACAAACTGGCTGGGAGTCTCTGCAGGTAGGGCCTGGTAACTGGTCCAGCCGGAGCCCCTGAGAATTAGACTAGAGAGAACTACATGAGCTGAGATGCCTTCTGTCTGATAGGCTGGGGCATAGTAGTGCACAACAGGATGAGCGCTTGATTCATTTCCGGGGCTCCTGGATGGGGCTCCAGTAATATCCGAGTCCCCAGAAAGTGCATTAGTTCCAGATGAGAACTGACACCTTCTCCAGGGCAACCAAAGCTCCTGAATGATAATCTCTACCCCAAACTCAAAGGTAACCAATCCCTCCCTGTATCCTTTTATGGTAAACACGAAGTTGAAAAACTTTAGAATGGCACCGAGCCTACAAGGGGTAAACAAACCTATGTTTTTTGTGGATATTATCAGACTGCCCTTGTAATAAAGCACCGTTTGACAGTCCCACCAAAAAGTAAGGGTATACGCCACCTACATTGCAGCCAGTGCAAAGTATCGTGACTTTATTTTTGATGTTCTGGTTGGCGAAAATGACATATATTTATTTAACATTGAATGGATCGTTGTGGAGATCAAGTGTCATTTTATAGGTTTCTTTTTAGAGACCACATTAGTTGATTCTCATTTGTATGAGAAGCTGCAGTGAATAAGAAAGAAAGAAAAAAAACCAACCAGAGGCATTAAGTAGTGTTATTGTTTGAGCTCTGATTTAAATGTGTATAATGTGCTTTGATTATGATCTGTCCCTCTTAACCCACAGTTTCCTGATATTCTTCAACAAACAGCTTGGAGGATGGCTGGGAGCCGACTCCCTAAAGAGTTCCTCTGGGCTGTCTTTGAGTCTGTTCGGAACAGCAGTGAGGAGAACCCTAACTTTCATGCCATCCCTGGTGAGTGCCCTGGGGTGTCTGCTCAGTGTTTTGAGCTGAGTCCCTGACATTAAGATGCCCATGGGGCAAATGGAGTATTTGGGAAGCAACAGAACAGCAAAAATCCACAGGCTGAAGAACGACACCTTCATAAAGAGATTTGAAATAAATCACACTCCACACTTCTTACCCAGGCTTAGGTTTAATGGGTAGGATTAGCTTCAAGGCCCCATGTATTTTAGCAGCTAAATATTGCAAATATAGGGGCAGCTGGCCAGATTTGAATCCCGCGTCTCCCACTGAATACTGTTGTGTGACTTTGGGTTAGTGTTTTAACTTCTCTACTTTCAGTTTTCATGCTCTGTAAAGTGGGAAAAATGAAAACCCTGTATCTCACCGGGTTATTTTGAGGATTAATGAGCATAACCTATAAACATACTCACAACAGTGCCTGGCATGTAGGAAATGCTGCAGAAGTGTTAGATATTTTCATTGTCCTTACTACATGCTACACGCAGACTTGTGCCAGCCATGAGGAGACAAAGTTAATCAGGCCTGATAGTAGCTAATAATCACAGTTAACAGTCAGTGCTTGCTTTCATTCATCCAGCAAATATTTACTGAGCATCTATTATGTGACTTAAAGAGAAAAAAAAATCTGCCCCCCTCAGAGCTCACTTTTAAATGAGGCATAGCCAAACCATCCACTCCCTACTTACTCAAAATACGTATCATAGGATGATGAATGTCAAGAAGGACAATACAGCTAACAAGGGGGGCTGGGAGTCTGGCAGGGGGTCATATGAGGAAAGAGAAGCATCAGGAAGGTGTCATGAGGGTGGTGACCTTTGAATGAATCTGGGGGGAGTGTGGGCTATGTGGACATTTGGGGTTGGAGCTTCCAGGCAGAGGGGGCACAGCAGCAGTGTCTTAGTTACTTTCTTGTCGCTGGGACAAAATATCTGACATCCACAAGTTAAAGGATGAGAGGTTTGTTCTGGCTCCCAGTGTGTAGAGGTTTCAGTCCATCGTCAGCTGGCTCCAAGGCGGGGTGGCCTGGCAACAGGGCATGGCAGAAGGGGAGTTTGTGGTGTGGCAGGCAGGAAGCAGTGAGGATCAAGGGAGGAGGAATATGTACATGTATGTATATATTTACATACATATATACATATATATATACATATACATATATGTATACATATACATATACATATATACGTATACATATATATACATTTCCAGGCCAGGCCCACAGTGACCCAGCTCTTCCTGCCAGACTTCATCTCCCAACAGCACACCAAGCCATAAACCCATTGGTGGGTGGATCCAGTGCCACATGCCCACGATCCGGTGCCACACACCCATGACCCAGTGCCACAAACCCATGACCCAGTGTCACACGCCCATGACCCAGTGTCACACTTCCATTATCCAGTACCACATGCCCACGATCCAGTGTCACATGCCCATTATCCAGTGCCACACCCCATTGTTCAGTGTTACATGCCCATGATTCAATGCCACACACCCATGATCCAGTGCCACACGCCCACGACCCAGTGTCACACGCCCATTATCCAGTGCCACACCCCATTGTTCAGTGTTACATGCCCATGATTCAATGCCACACACCCATGATCCAGTGCCACACGCCCACGACCCAGTGTCACACGCCCATTATCCAGTGCCACACCCCAATGTCCAGTGTTACACACCCATGATCCAGTGCCACACGGCCATGACCCAGTGTCACACGCCCATGACCCAGTGTCACACTTCCGTTATCCAGTGCCACACCCCAATGTCCAGTGTTACACACCTATGATCCAGTGCCACACGGCCATGACCCAGTGTCACACGCCCATGACCCAGTGTCACACTTCCATTATCCAGTACCACATGCCCACGATCCAGTGTCACACACCCATTATCCAGTGCCACACCCCATTGTTCAGTGTTACACGCCCACGATTCAATGCCACACATCCATGATCCAGTGCCACACGCCCATGACCCAGTGTCACACGCCCGTTATCCAGTGCCAAACCCCAATGTCCAGTGTCACATGCTCACACCCATGATCCAGTCGCCTCCCCAAAGCCTCACACATGAGTGCATGAGGCTTTTTGGGGACACCTAGATAAGAGTCATGGCAGGCTATGAGGGAGGCACGGGAAGGGAGGAACCAGTGTGGTTGTGGGGGAACAAAAGACCAGGGAGGACTCTGGGGCCTGATAAAGGAAACCCTGTGGACTTAGGCTTTTACTCTGGTGGAGGCAGCATGGGGTAGCAAGCTGAGAAGGGTCCTGCCCTCTATGTGCACTGTTCTGTCTCCATCACTGTCCAGGAAGATGGGCACTGAGCTCTTTCCATTTTCTTCATGAGGGAGATGGGGCTTAGACAGATTCATGGATGTGGGCAAAGTCAGAGTCGGTAAATGGCAGTCCTTGGACTTATGTCCAAAGCTGGTGGATTCACCACTGGTTCCAGTGCCTCAGAGCCCAGCAGTCCAGGTGTCAAGACACCCCTCACTCAGGGGAGGGGCTCTGTTGCCAGGACAGAAGTAGGGTTTTTAATCAGTTGGCCCAGGGTGTCACTTGCTGCTACATTTTAGTAATCAGTGCATCAGCAGAGTCACTGCTTGGTGTAATTTTAGTTAGTGCACATGTGTGTGTTCATTTTACAAATATTTGCGGAACACTTACTATGCCCCACATTCTACCCGGAGCCCCAGACACACAGAGTGCTAAGACCAAGGCCCTTTGGTTGCTCTTTGGTCGCTCTGTAATGCAGTGCTATCCCTGAGCCTGGGGGAATGGGGAAGGCTTGGGATAAAGATGTTTAGGACCACAGTTGGCACCCTGTTCTAACTTTGCTTCTTGATGATAGTCTGGTAAGTTAGCGCTGAAGACATGGTGAGAAGGGAGGGCCCAGGGTTTGGGAAATGCCCTGGCCTCCGATGGTGGGTGAGTCAGTCCACATAGTCACGGTCGGCTGCCAAGATGAGACCAAAATCCAGCACTGCTCTTATGGGCCTTGAGAGTTCTTGCTAGCACAGTGGAGGCAGCAATGTTGATATCTTATTTGAATGTTGGTGGGCAACTGTTCAGAGAAGGCTCAATTTATTCAAAGACTGAAATGGATGGGTTTCTCCTGTGGCCCAGGACGATGCAATAGTCCTTCTTTCCTGGGACCAGAAGGCCATACCCCCCACTGTGATTTTGATGGACAGCAAATCACTCGGTTGGATAGGAGGGCTCTTTCTCTGCAACTGTTAATCCTGGGTTGCAAACTCAAACATGTAGGGGCCAGGTAGGTATTGAATAGTAATGATGGGAAACGATTATTCAGGGCTTACTGGCCCCAGCCGATGATGTATGCCTGGCATTGTTCTAAGTGCTTCTATATGATAATGTTTTCAGTTTTCTTAATCATCATATGTGCTGAGTGCTTATGCCTTGAGGGGTTTGTAGTCAGGCTGCAGTGTTGTGAAGTTCCTTCTTTTGCATGTGGATATGCAAAAATCTGGCATCTCCATGAGTTTTGTTACCAGGCAGTTAGCAAAAATGTCAGAAGTGGGGTTCAAACTGGGCCTTGGGTCTGTGCCTTCAGCTCCTATGCTCTCGGGCCTCTTGTGAACTGGTCTGACTGGTGGAGGATTATATTCAATAAAGACACTACTATTTCCTGAAATGCTCTCTCCCCCGCTCTTCCCCCACCTCCCGTCACTCTGGAGGTTGCCATGGAGTCTCTGCTCCCTCTTTTGATAACATCTTCAAGTTGGCCGAGGCCAATGCCTGCTGGGCACCCGAGGTCCTCCGCTGCATGGGAGAAGACACTTTCATCAGGAACGTGGAGCTGCTGGGCACTGTCAGAGGATTCAGCCGGCCCCAGCTGATGGTCCTGAAGGAGAAGGCGATCCAGGTAAAGCACACCTTAGAGAGGAAGCATGAAACAGAAGAAGAAACAAACAAAACTAAAGCCCAGCCCCAGCATCTCTTGCAGGGAGCGCTCCTCCGGGAATTTACATGTCCTCTATTTGGTTGAAATGTCACTGCCTCAGCTCAACCGTGTAGTCGCGAGCTCCTAATCTGAGTAATGGGGTTAGCTCCTTCCATTTAGAACAGAAGCAGGAAATGGATTGGAATGTGTATTGGTGTCCTGTAATCAGAAAATCATGCTCTCTGTGTGTTCTGACCTAAACTGTTACCTGGAATTCTGCCTTTGCTTTAACTGTTTAGAAAACTGCAATTCCTGCCAGCAGAATTTGCTCAGCATCTAAGGCAAATTCATCTGAAAACTGCAGGGAAGAGTAAAGGGAAGACTGGAAGTAGCTCATCATCTTTGAAAAGTTCCCAAAGAGTGACTCGTTTTAGCTGCTGGGATAGTAGTGGAAGATATAGTCAGCTTCATGGGGTTAAAATAATTAAATTTCTTAAAAGTGTATGTAGAACTGTGGTTTTACAAGTAATCCAAGTTTACTATAAAGAAGTCAGAAAATTATAAGAAAATCAGTCTTTTACCCAGAACTAAGCATTGTAGATATTTTGTTAAGTTCACGTGAAATTTCACATTCTCCTGTTTATGTGTATAAAATAGTTTCCATGCATGCATTCCCTGCTGGTGGTCATTCCTTAGTGACCACGGAGAGCTGACTCTGGACCCCCACAGGTACCAAAATTCGTGAATGTTGAGATCCCTTATATAAGATGGTGCAGAACTCGAATATAACCTGCAACACCCAATAACATGTAAATGCGGTGTATATGGTTGTTATACATATTGTTTAGGGAATAATGACAGAAAACATCTTTTTCAACTCAACACAGATGCATAGTGTGTGTGTGTGTGTGTGTGTGTGTGTGTGTGTGTGTGTGGTGCTTGGAATCAAACCCAGGGCCTGGTGTGTCACAGACAAGCACTCTACCCCTGAACTACAGTTCCAGCCCCAGATACAAATTCTTTGGGAATGTGTTTGGTCTGTGATCAGTTGAACCTGAAGTTTGCAGAATACCCAGATATGGAGAATTGACAGAAATCACATATATATGTTACAAAAAAATGAGTATCACACCCATTACCCAATAACTTGCTGTCCACATCCAATGGTATAGAGTGCAATTTTTGGTATCAGAGATATAAATCTATTTCAGTATTTTATATAGTTATATAATCTGTTTTTGGGTACTTGTCTCGTAAATTTTTTTTTTAAGGCTAAATTCCCAGAAGTGAAATTTCTGGTAAAAGAATGTAAATATCTAAAAGCTTTTTGATCTTTATAGACAATTTCCCCTCTTAAAATCATGTCCCCATTTACAGTCTCAGCAACTACAAATAAGGGCCCCTTTTACCTTGTGTCCTTACCACTTTACAAGTGATCATTCTTTCAATATGATGGGCCAACATGGTCTTAATTTAATTATTAACATTTCATAAATTAAAACTTAGAGTGAACTTTCATCATATGTTTACTTCTTTAAACAAATACAGTGATTTTTTTTAATGATTCGTAAGATACTGATGTATTAAGGAGACTTACCCGATGTCTTTGTTGTTTAGTTTCTTCAGTGCTGAGGACTGAACCAAGGGCCGCGCACATGCTAGGCTGGCGCCCTAACAGGTCCCGGCCCTCTGTATATTTTATTTTGAAACGCGGTGTCACTATGTTGCCATGGTAACCTCGAACTCACAGTCCTCCTTTCTTAGCCTCCTGTGTAGGATTAGAGAATTATGTTATGATGCCCAGCCCTGTGTCTGTTGAAAATACTGTTTTGTCTCGTGTGAGCTGCTGTAAGAGAACACTGTACACCGGGTAATTTATAAACAGTGGAAACTTACATGTCATGGTTTTAGGAGCTGAGAACTCCAAGAGCAAGGCCCTCGTAGGTGGAGGGGTGAAGGCTTCGCGTAGGTGGCACTCTGGCCGCGTGTTTGCATAAGGAAGCAGGGCTCGACAGCTTTCCGGGGTTCTTTTACAAGGGCACCCGTCCCACCAAAGAGGGCAGAGCTTCATAACCTGATCACCTCTCTAAGGCCCCACCTTCTCTCCCGTCACGTTGCTGATGAGCTTGCAATGCATGGAGTTTGAGGGGGACGTAAACACTTCGACTGTAGCAAGTGGGGTCACTGACGTTCTGCGTTTTCCCCTCCCGAAGGTCTGGGCTTCGCCTTCCCGCTGGAGAGGACACCACGTGGTCTCCCTGGGCCGGATCGCTCTGGCTCTTAATGAGAGTGAGCTGGGACAGCTGGACCTCAGCTCCATCGACACCGTGGCTTCTCTGAGCCAGCTGACAGGGTGGACCTTAGGGCAGGTGGGTAGACGCTCGAGTTCTCTCTGAGTTTGGCTTACGTTTTCCTTCTTCAGAGCCTATTTATAATCGCTGCTTTCACATCCTTGTTACCAATTCCATCATCATTGTTATGTCCGAGTCTCTTTTCTATTAACCATTTTTTCCTCCTAGTTCTGAGTCACATCTTCTTGCTTCTTTGCAAGCCTAGCACCTTTGGGTAGTTATAGGCAGCATGAATTTTACGCCGGTGAGCTTTTGGTTGAGTTGTATTCCTTTAAAGAACGTTGGGCTTTTGTTGGTCTCTGTTTAAATTACGTTTTTCTCCATTTGAGCTTCTTAGGGAAAGTCCGGAGTGCCCTCCATTCTGTGGTTAGTGCACCCCCGTCACTGGGATGTGGCTCATCTCATCTAAAGACCCTGCTTCCCGCAGGCTCCTGTTCCAAGATCTCCCCACGCTGGCTGGTGGGAATGCGGACTTTTCTCCATCCCCACGTGACCTATGGGAGTGGCTCAATCTGTTGCCTTCTCATGAGCCTCCCTGGCTCTGGAGTTTCAGTCCCTTCCATGTACAAATCAGGACTTAGTCCTCCAGTGGACGTCTTGCAGATTTCTAGAACTCTTGCTGGATAGTTCTTTCCTCTCTAACACTCACTCCACACACAGTAGGTGTCCTGGCCTTTCTGATCTCTCTGTTGTCTCTGTCTCTCTCTCTCTCGCTCCCTCTCATTATTTATAGAAAAATGTAGATTTTCAGTTCTCAGAGGCTGCTTATGTGGAAAGCAAACATTCTCAGAGTTTGATTTCATTTCCTTTGGGGCCACCTGTGATATTTATACTGGCTTAGAATAGAGCTTGGGTACAGAAATTGTATCTATAAAAGATGACTTGGACATATTTTTCCATAAAAATATGGTTAGGCATACATGTTTTATCACATAGGAAATATTTATTGAATAAATGAATGCTAACGCCTTCTTGTTCTAGAGGGGTCAGTGGGAGTGGATTGCTATCTTTTGAGGGTTGAGATGGAGTCATAAGGAAGAATAGTTTGCTAGGTTTGTTTTTCATGGGTTTTGACCTTGGGTCAGCTGGACCTCTAGGTGTAGTTGGATCCCAATGGAAAGAGCCTCCAGGTAGTGAGCAAGGAACCTTTTTGGGCTCACCTTATTTCTTTTCCTTCTTTCAAGATCACTGTCCTGTGCTCCCTGTTGCCCAGTGTTTGAAGATAGTGGTTCCATATTTTGTTCAGTTTTGTACAATTGTTTTTTTGATATGATTATTCCTTTTTTTTCCTTTGTTTTTTCTAGTTGTTTGTGGTGGGAGAAAAAGTTCCTGTGATACTAATCCTTCATGGACTAAACAGCAGTTCCCCTCAGAATTTTGAATGAGAGAGATGTTTACAGTGCCTCATCCCCTAGACTGCTGGACAGGGAAGCCCTAGCTCCTGTGTGTTATCTTCATTCACAGAGGGTTCTCCCTCAGGGGTCATTTTTAGCAATAGGCTTGTATCTTGCCTAATTAGCAACCTTACAAAAATGGTATCTTCTGCACTTGTGTTTTTCAAAGTCTGGTCGTTAACTCCAATGATGTAGTTGCCCTGAACAATGCTCACGTCAGGGGGAAAAGATACTTGTTGGCCAGGCATGGGTCAGTGAGTGTAGTCCCTCTGCCCAGGGACACGGGAGCAGAGAGCAGCCAAGGGCATGTGGAAAGCTGTTTCATGCCCCCAAAGATGCCTATGTCTGAATTCCTGGGACTTGCAAATATAGCATTTTGCCTTGTGGGACTTTGCAGATGAGATCTGATGGAGGATCTTGGGATGGAGAGGTACCCTGAGTCATCCTGGTGGTTCCAGTGTGATCACAAGGGTGCTAGAGAGATAAGGGTGCCACAGCTAGACAAGGTAACATGATAAGGGAAGAAGAGGGGAAAAGAGAGATAAGAAGGTGCTATGCTGTTGGTTTTCAAAATGAAAGCGGGACCTCTAGGAGCTAGAAGTTGAATCCCATTGGAACTCCCAGAGGGGGAAAAAAAAAGAAACATGCCTTGCTGATTCATTTTAGGACTTTAGAATCTCCAGAACTGTAAATGAACATGTCTGTGTTTTAAGTCACTAAATTCATAATTTGTTATAGCATAGAAGATGAATGCAGAATAGTTCGTGAAAGAAAAAGTGTGGTGATATTATTAAACTGAGGGTGGATGGGAGCTGGGCAGGCACAGCCCATTCCCCTTCTATGGTGGGCTTTTCATAATCAAGGTTGTCACATTCCACAACTGTCAAGTGTCATCATTCAGGCTGAACACAGTGTGAAGGGTGTTCCCTTGGAGCTTTGGACCACAGAGGTGCTGGTCATGAGGTTTGGATGACTTCATAAAACAAAGCACTTCAATTACATCTGGTGCAGAAAGGTCAATAGAAGTTGCTTGTGGTCATCATCAGCACCATTCACCACCACACTTCCTCTTTCCCTCTTCTGGATTAGTCTCTTCTTGTACAAGATACGAGGGTTAAACCCGACACTAAATTTCCTTCCATTCCAGCACTCTCTTACCCGTGGTCCTGTGACTCTAGAACTGGCTTTGACTAGTGTGAGAAGCGCCACATCACACATCTGATATTAAAATCATTCTATATGCAGCCTGGGGGAAACAGACAAATAGATCCAACTTAGAAACTGGAGTATCTCTTTCCTTTTGCACCAATTTTAATTCCCATGGATGGCAGTGAGATTTATCAATATGTTTGAAGAAGATATGAAAACCTAACATTTGCATATATCATTTGCAGTCAGTTCCTCAACTTTAGCTCCCAATCAAAACCTTAAATGCATGTTTCTAGATTAATAGGCAGACCTGGAGGAACTATATTAACAGATAGTTCAGCTTAAAAACCAATATAATGGGACAAAACTATTACAGAAGCCAGAGGGATGGAGAGAGAGATTGAAATCTTACAGCTCCTCATTTTTTCAGTGGTTAATATCACCTAAAAGTGTTGGTATTAATTGTCTGGGGTTCATTACATATACACCAGTCTAGTCACTCAAGGAAATATTTTTTGACTTATCACCTGCAGGCTGAGCTTGCATTTTGTGGGTTCCAGTGGCAAGGACAATTTAACACTGCAACTTCAAAGTAATTTTGTTTGAATTGTACTTTGGCACTTTCATTTTAAAATGGGAATGCCTCATACTCTGAGGGGGGGCACAGATTGCTATGAGTCAAATAGTGAAACCTGATTGTGAAGACTTAATAAGAAAAATTCAAAATCTGTCTTGAATCTTCATTTTTTTCCCCCTAGCCAAATGTCTTCACTGATTAAGGGTATAGGCTCTGGAGTCTGACTGTCCTGGCTTTGATCCTAGGACCAGTATTTTCTGGAAGCACGATATGGCTTATTTAGCTTCTCTGTGCCCCAGCTGTGCACCTGTGAAAGAGAGTTAATGTTGATTAACATTAATACTTAACATTAACACTTAGGGTTGTGGTATCCGATGACAGCACACAGAAAGCACTCAACACATGCTAGCTCTTGTTATTTTGTAGGCACAGTCCCCTTCAGGTGAAGATAGTTACATCTCAGAGGGGCATTACTGAAACTCCCCTACAGTAGCTAGGAGTTTACTGGTAATCACCGAAGGAAACTTCATAAAGAAACAGACGAGTTTGATTTACAGAAACATGGGAAATCTCCCTGAAGCCAGCCCATCCTGTGAAGGCAGCAAAATGATGCCACTTCAAACGGAGCACATGTTGCTTGTGACGTCCGTATGTGATTCCCTCCGATGTTCATTCGTTCATTCTTCACTCATTCATGCGCTCACTTAAAAAACCCTTATTGGACTCCCTCAGTGTGGTAGGCATTATGATAGATTCTTGGGCCCAAATGGCAAACTCTCTAGCTGTGGTCCTCGCTTTTGGGGAGTCTACTAGTGATACAGACAAAGAAGTCAGTGGTGAAGATGAACATGGTTAAAAATTGTAATAAATGATAAAGAAAATGGACTCCTGGCAGTATTGAGGAAGGAGACTGTTTGGGCTGAAGGTGTCCAGAGGGCAGTCTTCTCTGAAAAGGTAGCATGTCAACAGACCCAAGGGTTGGAAAGGCTACAGCAGCATGAGCAGTAGAGTCCCCACTGCAATCTTTCACAATATTTCTCAACATTTTTCTTGGCTCTGTAATGATCCATATTGTGTGATGGGCATGACTAACAATAAAAGGTGAAGGGAAACTATATGCTTGTGACCTTTACTCCACTAAAGATGCTTATTCTTGGAAGTCTCCTTCTCTTCTTTGCCTTTTGATTTTTCAGACACCCCCCCCCCGCTCCTATGAACACCAAATGATCATGACTTCATTATAAAGCTCATCTCCAAGGGATTGGTTTGGATCCTTCTTCAGGCCAACATAAGTAGATCCCGTGAGTCAGGGTTCATTTACTCAGCAGTAGCAGCAAACTTATCTGAGCAAGAGAAGTGATTCATTGATTCTCATAATAGAAAAGTTCAAACTTAGAGTGCAGGTATAGTTGGATCCAGGTGCTTCAACATTTTTGTTGGGAACCTAACCCTTACCATCTTGGGGGGGGCACTCTGCTTTTCTTTGTATTTAAGGGCAGACTCTCAAGGTAATGAGAGATCTTTCTATCTAGCAGATTTGCATTACATCCATTCCAAGGATCCACATGTGTATCCTTCCAAATTCAAGTCCAAGGTCTCTCTCAATTGCTCTGTTCAAAGTCTTCACTGGTTCTGGCTGGATCACACGCTCAGTGCAGAACTCATCACTGGACCCAGTTAAAAGATGACTTGGTTAGACAGGACTAGGCTACCTCATTAGCCCTCTGCAGTTAATTCAGATGGAGCTACATGGAACAAGGGTATGGGAGGAGTGGTTCTCCAGGGGAAGTCATGAATGACAAACAGCCACTATGTTGGAAATCAGGGATCCTACGTGTCAGTCCCCTTCAATCAAAGCTCACTGGAGATAGGCCCGTGTGAATTTTAACATGAAAGCATTTTATGTACTGCTCTCTGGAAGAGTGAGCGTGAGTATATTTCTATAGGAAACAATTGGGGGTCGCTCTGCTTTTCTTTGTATTTAAGGGCAGACTCTCAAGGTAATGAGAGATCTTTCTATCTAGCAGATTTGCATTACATCCATTCCAAGGATCCACATGTGTATCCTTCCAAATTCAAGTCCAAGGTCTCTCTCAATTGCTCTGTTCAAAGTCTTCACTGGTTCTGGCTGGATCACACGCTCAGTGCAGAACTCATCACTGGACCCAGTTAAAAGATGACTTGGTTAGACAGGACTAGGCTACCTCATTAGCCCTCTGCAGTTAATTCAGATGGAGCTACATGGAACAAGGGTATGGGAGGAGTGGTTCTCCAGGGGAAGTCATGAATGACAAACAGCCACTATGTTGGAAATCAGGGATCCTACGTGTCAGTCCCCTTCAATCAAAGCTCACTGGAGATAGGCCCGTGTGAATTTTAACATGAAAGCATTTTATGTACTGCTCTCTGGAAGAGTGAGCGTGAGTATATTTCTATAGGAAACAGAGAAAGAAAAATTCATTCTAGCTGAGTTGGCCAGGAAAAACTATGAAGCAGATGATATTTGAATCAAGCAAAAACAAAAGGATGGCTAGACTGGGGTGCAGAAGGGTATTTCAGATAGAGGGACTGGCTTGAGCAAAGGCAGAGGCAGGGAGAGTTATTGTTGGAGAGTTGTGAAAACTGACAGAAGTGTTTGGGTCCTGATGCAGAAGAACCTGAATACACAGAGTATCTGAACGTAATAAAAATTTCTGAAGGAAATAAGCCAGAAGCCATTTCTCATCTTTTATAGGCTAAATCCATTCTTCAAGGGTTCCTCCAGGATTCAGGCTATGGTATCCAAGATCTGAAGAGCTATCATTTGGTAGGCCTTGGTGCCATCCTGTGTGCTATGAATGTTACCGAAATCCCACTTATAAAGGTCTCAGAATTCAGGTAACCAACCTGTGAGCATGCAAAATGACAAATGGTTTACCCACCCTTCTACCCATCCCAGTGTTCACCATTTTCTGATGCTTTGATTCTTTTGGGGCCAGAAAAGAGAGTGGGATTAGCTGGATCTTGGAGTCTCACTGCTTAGCTCACTAACCTTTGGCACACTGTTTTTTGGTTGGAGGATTCCCTGAGCTCATACTGTGTCCTTTTCTCTGTAAAGGATGGTGGTGGGCAGAATTGGGACCTTGCCCTGTAGCATCCATGTCTTGGCTGAGTTGAAGAAGAAGGCAGAAGTTGTGTTCGGGGAGCCTTCTGGATGGACCAGCTCTGTCTTGCAGGAGCTTGGGACCATTGCAGGTAAGAGCCCTGTGGAACACACCTATTACTCCTTTAAAAACTTAAATCTGGGACTAAAATGAAACAAAGTAACAATCCTTGGCCACATGTGGACATCAATGGAGGTAATGTAGAAGCGAGACTTGAAGTTGCAGAGAGCAGAGTCTGCACATGTGCTTTTAAAATAAATTTTCTTGGAGATTCTTGTGCATACTACAGTTTGAAAAACACCGGTATAGAGTGATTTAATTGGCCTCTAAATAGATTTATACACAACCTTAAAGTGTGTAAATTGAAGCTCCTTCTGGTCATGCATTTCACTGTAGGAGGCCAATCACGGCTAATGTGACCCACATATTTTTCTGAGTTGATTAAGGAACTCAATTCCCCAGTGTGATTCTCTGCGCCTTGTGTAAGGAATGATGATTTCTAGCACACACAGATCTGTACACCGTGCAGTACCGTTAATAAAACAAGTGGTGTTCCGATGGCTTGAACTAAACCCCCTGATTCCTTTTTCTTCCCAGCTGGCTTAACTAAGGCAGAGCTCCGAATGTTCAACAAGGAACTGATGCTGTATTTCCAGCCATCAGCAATAAAATGCCTTCCTGATGAGATATTCAAAGTAGGTGCTTGGTTCTTCAAGGAGAAACAGGAGATGGACCCCATCTCAGATCACACGGGAAAATGGGTACCAGGCCTTGGATTCTTGGGACTTGCAAGCAGGCTTGTGCTAGTAGGAGCTAGAAGACATCTCTAGGCCCATAGTGGATAATCACAAGATAATTTCAGGTGTTTAAAAAAACTATTTTTAAACTAGATTTATTTTTATGGTCACCTTCTCTTCACAGCAAGGGATGCAGATTTCCTATTTATGGTTATGTGAGAGGTTCCCACATCCTTCTGTAAAACCCTTGAGGACACATAGACTCAGAATTCAGAACTTTTCACATTTTAGAAAGATCACCCTGTGTATGTATGGGGTGTATCTTAATGCCTCCAGTAGTGTCTGAAGTAATTGTAAGCCCATGCATTGATATTTTGGAGAAGAGATCTTTGATAAATCACGCTAATTGGAACAGACTCTAAGTTGTCTTGCGTCAATTCAGGTCCAGTTTTGCAAGTAAATAAATTTGTTTTAAACTTTGGGGAAGAAACAGCTTTTGGACATCAGATTTGCAGATAGCAGATTGTGGAGCATTATATTTTTCCTTTTAAATAAAAAAAATTGCAGCTGATTTAAAGAAAAGTGCTAGGTGAATCACAGGAGGACAGGCGATTAATTGCTGTGGAGAAATTGAGAGGGTGGAATTGGATTAAGTTGAAAAGAAGAAAGCAGGGTGTCCAGCGGGGGACCCACTCTTTCTGTCCACGTACGGGATTAGGACTATTTGATTGGGACGCTCTGCTCTGAGGTGGAGCGACCCTGGTGTTCATGAGCAATGTGGGAGCGCACCTGCCCTCCACACCTGGGTAAGGCCCTCAAACCCGCGGTTCAAGACTGACCGCCAAGCTAGAGCCGCTTCAGCACCGCGGACAGCTCCCCGACAGACTGTGGTTGGTTGGGGACAGCGGCTGTTTGTGCGGGAAAAGGAGTTCTCAAGGCCGGGGCACCAATTCCTGCTTCCCGTTTGGGACATTCCACACGGGACAGGCAGCTCTGTGCTGGCATTTTGCTGAGCACTCGCTCTTGATATCGTTTGGAGGACAGTTGTGGCTGGTTCATTGTTAAGGTACCCATCCATTCCAGCAACGCTTTTTGGTACCCTTCACTGATTCAGGCCCTGGAGGAGGGGTGTGTGGGATCTAAGTCACTGGTGAGGGGGACAGCACAGTTACTTGGGGGCCAGGAAGGCAGTGTGAAGGCAGGCTCGGTGGGACCGAGTGGGGTGCGAGAGCCTGTTAGGATGGGGAGGCCATTTCCCATGTTGTGCACACTAATGTGCTGTGACCATGAGGGCCTGGTATCGCTGGGCCATTTTTTAAAAAATAGAAGCTGCTCCATTTTCATATGAAAATAGAAAATCTTCATTTTCATATGAAATCTCCTGATAATTAAGTGTTGGCAGCCCATTTGAATTTATTTTTGAAAACACAGTAGGCTTGGAGATTCAATCTGGCCTGTGGGTCATAGGGCCAACACTGGAAAGATAGTTAATTTCTGAAATACAGACTCTGTTAGTGGTAGACGTCAGGTCCTCTCTCTCCCTCTCTCTAGGGTGAGGAGGAGGTGATGCTGTATCACGGAAGGCACGTATGTTAGGCAGAGAGAGAACAGGATTCCAGGCAGAAGGAAGTGCCTGGTAGGATGGCCTCCTGGGAACGGAGATACAGTGAGGTCCCCAGGTGAGGGACTGTCGCTAGATTTGGGAGCTTGAATTGTGTCCTTGGGGGAGCATCTAGCTGCACAGGAGGGAAGAGCTCGACTGCGAGGGACGGATGGGATCATGTGAATGAGATTCCTCAGATGAGGGAGCAAGTGAGGCGCGAGGTCCTGGTATGCGAGCAGAATCTGTCATCCCATCTCATTCCGCTCCCACAGGCACCGGTCTCCAGGCCCTTTGAAGCTGGTCGGCCTCGGAAAACTTGCTCCTCAGGGACAGGGTACCCAGCAGAATTTCCCACTGCTGGGAGACAACACCACTGGGCCACCACACTTTTCCTGCTCCAGCCCAGCGGGACTCGTGGCTTGGTATTCAGGCAGGGCAGCCATGCCCACAGATCAGAACTGCCACGGGAGAGGAACTCCTGGGCCACCTCACAGCTCAGCCAGGCGCTCCGAGAGGCTGTGTGCCTTGGCCAGGGCAACGCAGCTGGTGCGTTGCTGAGCCGAGGCCCAGGTTTGGGTCCACGGCCTTCTGGCTCCTGCTTCCTTCCCTACATCGGCATTTTCTCAGGCCAGGACGTGGAGTGTTGAGGGTATCGTGCGTGGGCATTGTAGGCGGCACTGTCACAGTGGGAAAATCACGATCCCCTTTTCAACCCTCTCTTACTACTGCACACTTCCAGGAGAAAGTCTAAATTTGGAGCTAGAATGTTTTAAAATATCTTTTAACCCTGTTAGGTTCCCCTCCCCTTTCTTTTTTAAGTGGTCAAAGGTCCAAATATTACGGGCCAACAGATCTAGCAGGAGTTCAAGTATGCTGTTTTCTTTTGACTTCTATTTAATGCTTGCTTATGGCAAGTCTCGCTGGTTTCCTGTTTTTGGAAATTTCTGTTAGGTTCTTTTTTTCATTTTTAAACACATATATTTGTGTACTGAAAGTGATCTGGTGTTAAGGAAACATTTCAGAAGCGCACAAATGGCCCTCGGGTATGGCAAGGACGTGCCGATTCTGGGCAGATGGTGAGGGCCGGGAAACCCTAAGGCCCCCCGCTGAGAGCGTGCCCCCCCCCAATTTCCCGGCCGCAGGAGCTGTCCGCTGCGCAAATAGCCTCCTTGGGCCCGGAGAACGCCGCCGCGGTCACCCCCGCCCAGAGCCGGCGGCTCAGCGCGTCGCAGCTGCAGAGCCTGCAGCGGACACT